GGTTCGATTCCTGGTCAGGGAACATACCTAGGTTGCAGGTTCAATCCCCAATCAGGGTGCATCTAGGAGGCAATTGATCAATGTTTCTCTCCCACACTTCTCTCTCTAAAAATGTCCCTGGGTGAGGGAAAGAAACGTGTGCCACCTTGCTGCTCAACATTTCTCCTAAACAACCCACCTCCAGTGGGGCACTGGAGTTACACCTGGGCTGTGTCCCAGCCATCCCCTCTGGCCAGAAGTTAGCAAACATGGAAACTCCCCTCCTGAGAGCAAGTGATGGGTTGGCAACAGAGACTCTATGGCTGCAGCAAGCAAAAAAGGTGTGTGTGTGCTGGGACCGGTTTGGCTCAGTGGATAGAGCGTTGGCCTGCGGACTGAAAGGTCCCGGGTTCAATTCCGGGCAAGGGCATGTACCTTGGTTGCGGGCACATCCCCAGTAGGGGGTGTGCAAGAGGCAGCTGATGGATGATTCTCTCTCATCGATGTTCCTAACTTTCTATCCCTCTCTCTTCCTCTCTGTGAAAAATCAATAAAATATATTAAAAAAAAAAAAAAAGGTGTGTGTGCTCTCAAGAGCACAGGGCTGAACCCTGTGTGGTAATATCCAGATGGAGCACAATATTGTTGGGAAGGAAAAAACACAGATCAGTCAGTCTACGTGTCTTGATGTCCAGAAGGTTACCCTCATCACTTGCTTGAAAAGAACCAAAATTAGCATTCCACTGAATATGGAGCTCCCCTGCATATTGGCAGCTGCCAAAAGCAATCAGATTTCCCAAAGGATCTCTGACATAAGTTAACCACTGCAATGCCGCCTGCTCAGACACTTGGCCCCTGCAGTTTATTCTCAACACAGAAATCAGGAATCTAGGAGAACCTGTCGGATTCTATTTCTTCTCTGCTCGGAACCTTTCAGTGGCTCCCCTCTCAACCCGAGTAAAAGCTTAAGTTCTTACAATGGCTTTCAGGCCTTCAATGTCATAGCCCCCCCCCCCCCCATTAGTTCATCCACAGGCCTCCCAGCTGCTCCTGAGGCCAGCATCAGCCCGCCTAGGAGCCCAGAAAGCTGCACAGCTCATAGCATAGCTCACTCCGCTTAAATGTCACCTCAGGGAGGCCTTGCCTAAGTCCCTATTTAAACAAAACCTCTTGCCCCGCCAGTGTTGCTCAGTGGTAGATGTTGACCCATAAATTGGGTGTCACAGTTCCATTCCCAGTCAGGGCACGTGCCTAGGTAGACAGTTGTGGGCTCCATCCCCAGTGGGGGGCGTACAGGAGGCAGCCTATCAATGATTCTCTTTCATCATTGATATTTTGATCTCTCCCTCTCCCTTCCTCTCTCTGAACTTAATAAAAATATATTTAAGCCCGACGGGCATAATTCAGTGGTCGATGTATGAACCAGGAGGTTACAGTTCGATTCCCAGGGCAAATGCCCAGGTATCAGAATGTGTCTCTCTCACCATTGATGTTTATCTCTCTCTCTCTCCTTCTCTCTTCCCCTCTGAAATCAATAAAAATAGAAATATAAATATTTTTAATAAATAAATACCTCTTGCTACTGCCTCCTAGCCCAGCTGAGGTATTCCCCATTCCTATTACCTGTTTGGTTTTCTTCTACAGCACCCGTCAGCTGACTTATGTTTTACTTTTTTTAAAAAAATATATGTTTTTTATTGATTTTTTTACAGAGAGGAAGAGAGAGGGATAGAGAGTTAGAAACATCGGTGAGAGAGAATCATCGATCAGCTGCCTCTTGCACACGCCCTACTGGGGATGTGCCCGCAACCAAGGTACATGCCCTTGACGGGAATCGAACAGGGGACCTTTCAGTCCACAGACCGACGCTCTACCACTGAGCCAAACCGGTTTTGGCTTATGTTTTACTTTTGACTTTCCCCACTAACATGAAAGCTCCAAAGGACTGACATACCTATGTCTGATCTGTCCACTTCTATACGGCCCCAATATCTAAAACAGTTTGGCCTATAGAAGGTGCTTTATAACTAATTAGCCAATGAATGAATGAACAACTGAATCACCCACTCTTGAATCTATAGGTCCCTTCCCTGTACTAACAGCTTCCACACCTGTCTCCAGCTCCAGGTCCGACCCCTAACTGCGAGCCGGATGACGCCCCGTGGAAATCCCAAAGTCATATCAAATCTGGACATGCTAAGATCACATGTGTCAAACACAAGGCCCGCGGGCCAAATCCGTCCCGCCAGGCCTTGCAATGTGGCCCGCACCGCGCTGTCATCACTGCACTCCGCTGCGTTTCCATCACAATGACAGTTTATGACTGTTCAATAAACCATTCGGCCCGCGATTTAGGCTGGATTTTAGATTTTGGCCCCTTCTCTGATTGAGTTCGACACCCCTATGCTAAGTGGACACATCACCTTCTCAGGCCGCCCCTCTCTGGGTCCCCACTTCAGTGACAGCAGCCCTATCTCCCTCAGTTTCCCAGGCCAGAGCACCCTGGGACTCCCTCACCCCCACGTCCTGTCTTCTCTGCTTTCAGTCTCTCTGCGTCCACTGCCACTGAGGTACAGACGGGGTGATCCTCCTGGGGTCACGGGACATTTCCCCGGGGATCATAACAGAGCCCGGCAGAACCATCACTCAGTTATAGAAACAGGAATCCCTCCCTTTACACAAACACCTACGTGTTGACAGGGCACTTCTGCAGACGTTATGTCACCTAATTATCACAATAACCCTGGGCCTGGATCTCATCGTTACCAAAGGACAGGTGAGAAAACAAGTCCGGGGACACTGAGGCACAGGGAGGGGAGAAGTGAGGGGCCAGTCCGAACCGCCATTCCTGCCAGGTTGTTGTTCGTCTTCACCATAGGATATGTTTGCCATCGATTTTCAGAGAGAGTGGAAGGGAGGGAGAAAGAGAATGGAGAAAAGGGAGGGAGGGAGAGAGGGAGAGGAAGAGGGAAGGTGAGCGACAGAGCCAGACAGAGAGAAATGCTGCCATTGTCCAGGAAAGGAAGCTGAGGCCCAGGGGGAAGCCCTCCGCCCGCTGCCAGCGGCCTGGGGCGCAGGGTCCGGCCGCGGGTCCCAGGCTCCCCTGAGGAGAGAGAGGAGGGCAGGGTCACCTGGAGCACCACAGAGATGGTCTTCTCGCCGGCCTTGGCTGCCCGCCACTTCCGGTACGTGTCGGCCTTGAGGAGGTTTTCTGCGCAGTGGGTCTGGAGATGGGAACAAACGGGCAAGGGAAAGTTAGGGTACCTACCGAGATGAAAGCGAGGTCCCCAACTTTCAGATTATTCCTCCGAGTCCTCCCATCCCAAGCCCTCTGCGACCCCCCAGCTTTGCGTGACCCCGTTCCTTCTCCCCACGCTCTGCCTGGAGTCCCCTCAGCACTTCGCCCTGGAAGTTCACCCACGAGCTCTCCACGGAGGCGCTCCCCTCCCTCCTTTCTCCCCGGGACTCCCACAGGCTCCCGGAAGTTCCCCCAGTCCAACTCTCTCTCGGAATCCCCTTACGAGCTCCTGGAACCCCGCCCCACCCCACCCCCCCCCCCGACCCTCAGACTCCCATGAAGGTCCCTTTTACACCCCAGAAGTTCTCACGGAGCCAGCCCCCCAGGAAAGCCTTTCCGCATCCCAGCCCCCCTCACCCCGGTCCCTCACCGAGTCCTGGCTGCTGCAGGACACCACATGGCGGAGGCGGATCTCCGGCATGTCAGCGTCGTGGGCTTCGCGGGAGCCGAAGGAGGGAGGAGGGCCCGAGCTCGGGGGGCGAGGTGGGGGGGCGCCCTGCGCGCGCTCAAGTGCGCACGCGCGCGAGGCTCGGGCCTTTCAAACCGCGGCGCGCCGGCGCACGCGTCAACCCGGCGCCTGCGCAGCAGTGCGGCCTCGCCGGAGCGTGGCTCTGAGTTTCCCTAGCAACGGGCTTTTCCTCTAGCCCCGCCCCTCCCTGGCCCTGTCGCTCTTTAGCCCCACCTTCCGGTGGCGGTCACAGCCCGCTTTTTCTGGGCGCCTAGCAACATCCAGGAGCGGCCTCCGGGATTGGTCCCTGGAAGAAATTCCCCATTCTCATTGGACAACGTGGTCTCCGCCCAAACTGAAGCCTGTCTGCTAGAGGACCGCAAACCCGAGCCGAATTTTTGCAGGGAGCCTGGAGCCTACTGCAACCGGATCCTCCACCGGTCCTGCAGCTGCTACCCTCTTCCCCCGCTAGCTTCCCACCACACACAAAGGGGGAAAAAAAATCTCAGCTCTCTCTCAGAGTCACCGCCCACACTGAAGCCTTTCTGCTAGAGGACCGCAAACCTGAGCGAAGTTTTGCAGAGAGCCCTGGAGCCTTCTGCAACAGGATCCTCCACGGGTCCTGCAGCTGCTTCCCTCTTCCCCCGCTCTCTTCCCACCACACACAAAGGAAAAAAAAAAAATCTCAGCTCTCTCAGAGTTAAGCCTGAGGCCAGGAGAGAGTGGGTCAAGATCCTCCCTCAATAATACACAAAGCATAAGCCCAAGCCAGACTCGCACACCCAGTCTAGCGTGCTTCCACCCAGGCCTCAGTTTCCCAATGTGACCTGTGGGCATCTGTCTCCTACCGCGCCCATCGCTGCCGGCGGACAGGCACCCCTTCTGTTCGGGGCCCCGCCAGACCCAGGGATACAGCCCCAGGCGGGTAGGAGCTGGAGACAGCCCGAACAAAGAACAGGGAGTATGAGCCAAGCCCACGAAGAAGGGAAGGGAGACCAGGCTCCCGTGCCCCCGCAGAGCGAGCCTGGACCGGCTCGGCGCTCCCAGGTAGGGCCCCACCCACGCAGGGTGCCTCCTTGAGATGAGAGAGAAGAGAGAGGGGTTCTCAGACCTTGTAGCTGCCCTACACCTACAGGGAATCAAGTGACCCTGATTTTGACCTTGGGCTTTGGGCCAGAGGGGAAAAAAGGGAGAAGGGAACTGCACGGAGTGAGAAAACAGGAAAGTGCCCCCCTGAGTCCTGATAGAAGGGGCTGGAAGCCCAGGCTCCTGGGGACCCTGTGGAGGAGGGGCCTGAGCACAAGATGCCCATGTTGCTTTTGGATTCTGGTCCCACCTCCCCAACCCAGAGCCGCAGAGGCCTGCCCTGAGATCTTACCTCAGCTCTTGCTCGCCCCAGGGGGAAGGTGGGTCCAGACCCGCCCCTCCTCAGCTGCCTATAAGTACTGGGAACCTGGGGCTGCCGGCTCACACACCATGAGGCCGTCCCTGACTCCGAGCACCTTCCTGCTGGCCCTCACACTGCTCGGCACCCTACTGGGTCTCGGTAAGTGACCGGAGGCTCGGCCTCCTGGCATCCTCGGGAGAGAGCAGTCAGCGAGGTCTCTCCGAGGGAAAGAGCAGGCGTCCTGGGAACTCAGGTCATGTTGAAGGCAGACGCTAAGGATAGAGAAAAGCTGGGGCCCGAGACAGGAAAAGCTCAAAGGCGCTTGGATTGGATCTCTGAGGAAGGAGGGGACAGGGTGGGCTGAATCCTCCGTCCCCAGGAGGGGGCGGGGGGTCCTCAAAATGAGACATTTAAACTCTAGAAAATCACATGAGAGCATGATTAAGAAGGGACATTTTTAAAAACTGGGGGAAGGAGAGCCCTAACCGGTTTGGCTCAGTGGATAGAGTGTCAGCCTGCGGACTGAAAGGTCCCGGGTTCGATTCCGGTCAAGGGCATGTACCTGTGTTGCAGACACATCCTCAGTAGGGTGTGTGCAGGAGGCAGCTGATTGATGTTTCTAACTCTTCCTCTCTGTAAAAAAAAAAAATCAACAAGATATATTTTTTAAAAAACTGGGGAGAGAGGGAGACATTAGCTTTTTTTTCTTGGACTCTAGGGAGATCAAGCCCCCAGCCTCTCCTCCCTCAGAGGCAGGAGTGCAGGCAAGCCCCACCTTCCCTGGGTCCCGGGCTCTGGGCTGCCTCCTTTCTCAGGGTCCAGGAGGCCGTGCCCTCAGCCCTCCTGGTGCGCGCTCTCCCTTCTTGAACTGGGATGCAGACCTCAGATTCAGGTCCCCCTCCCGGAGCTCCTACTGTCCACAGACCTGCACCTGGTTCCCACGTGAAGGCGGGTCCCACATCCAGGAACCAGCTGGGCCTGAAGCATCACAAAAACCCAGGGAAACCTCCTCCGGGCCCGCTCCCCGGCCCTGAACTTTCTAGAGGACCCAGCGTCCCGAGTCCCCTGCCTTGTAATTAGGAAAACAGGCTCCGTGGTGGAGTCGCTTCCCGCCTCGGGAAGCCGCTTTGCGGGCATCCCCAGCGCGTCCCTGGCAGAGCGCTGGACAGCTCCCTGGACAGCGGTCAGCGCCCCGCCCAGGAGCAGGGAGCCGCCCCCCCCCTCACACCCCACAGCCCCCCCTGTCCCCCCGCCCCGCGCATCCCCGCGGCCCCGGCCCCCGCAGCCCGGACCACAGCCGGCCCTCTGCCCCGCAGGCTGCCCGCTGAGCTGCGAGGTGTGCAGGGGCTCCGGGCCCACGTGCAGCGGGAGGATGAAGACCTGCGAGGCCGGCAAGGACGCCTGCGTGGCCATCGTGGGCGAGTCGAGCACCAGTAGGAGCCCCGGCGTCAAACCCGGGGAGGCGGTTGCAGGGGAGGGACCGGCACGGGCGGTGGTGGGCGGGCAGGGGGGAGGGCAGGACTGTGCAGAGGGGGATGGATACAGGGATGCAGGGGAGTGATGGAAACCATTGCTGTCAGGGGGTTCTGGAAATTAGCCTTTCCAAGAGAGAAGATTGGGGGGGGGGGCTTTCTCAGGCAGGAAAGGATGCGGGGAGCAGAGCAGGGAGCGAGGAAGAACTTAATTGGGGGGGGGGGTCATGAGAAGGAAGAGGCTGGGGGGTTGGGAAGAGGGAGGGAGGGACAGACTACCCCAGCGATCAGGCTGGAAGAGACCGTTCGGGACAGGAGGAGGAGGGGAGGTGATATCGGGGTAGGAGGAGAGAAATAAAAGGAACCACAGCAAACGGGAGTGGGGAGAGGGCGATGTAGAGAAGGGGCAGGAGGGAGGCTACTGAGTAGAAGGGGAGAGGAGGGAGGGGATGACTTAAATGAAAGGACCAGTCAGACCCGAGAAAGGAAGGGGGAGATGGGAGCAATGGAAGGGACCACGGAAGGTTTGGGGGGGGCGTGGTGTAGGAATGAAGGCTGTGACAGCAGGTGGAGGGCCACCTTGAGTGTAGGAAGGAACCATCCCAGCGTGTATGGAAGGAGGGGCGTGTTTCAAGGAAGGGGAGATAGTGGGTGGCAGGCTGCTCCCCTGACCATGTCCGCATTGGCAGGTGGGGGAGGACCTGAAAGGCTTGAAGAGACACCAACCACCCCCTATGGGAAGGAGCGACAGACCTGGGGTGGAGGGGTGGGGAGAGGAAGCTGAGGGGAAAGCCACCCTTTGGACTGGGCTGGAAGAGACCACATGTGGGGCGGGGGAAGGCGGTAAGGCCTGGTCTGGGGGTGGCCAAAGCTGGTGGCCAGAGGCCTCAGCTGGAGGTCCGGGGAGGACACCGCTCAGAGAGGGCTGTGGATGTTTCCGGGCTGCGGTATGGGGGCCGGCACCCCACAGTTTGTTGAAAGTGAAGGCGGGAAGAGAGCATCTCATGCGGGCACAGATGACCAGGGAAAGCACCATCCGCAGGACCTTGAGGCGGTGGCCATGGCAGGGGGTGTGGGGGAGTGAGAAGGACCTTGTGAGGCAGACCTGGGCTTGGCAATGGGGAACAGCCAGTGGCCACCAAAGGCCGGCTAGGGGCTATGGTGATGAGGTGGGGGTGAGGAGAGCTCCCTAATAAACCACTCCAGACTGCACCCCGGTAGAGAAGGGGGTATGGCTTTCGGGGGGCTGGAAAAGACCATCCCAGACAGTCACGGGGTGGGGAAGCTGAGGGGTTGGTTGGGAGAGGCCCCAGGCAGGGGTCAACACTACCCAACCCCTCCCCTCCCTCAGAGGGCCACCACTCGGTGAACAGCTACAAGGCCTGCATGAAGTTCAGCGACTGCTACTCGGGGTTCGTGTCCACCACCATGGGCCCCAAGGACTACATGGTGACCAACACGCACTGCTGCCAGAGTGACGGCTGCAATCGCGGCTCGGTGCCCCGTAAGTGCCAGCTCAGCCCTGCCCCGTGTCTCTTCCGGCCTGCCCCAGGAGCCGGTGTGTGTGCCCGCGCCCTCCGCTCACCCATGCGCTGGAACCCTGGGCAAGCACCTTCCTGGAGAGCCCGCTTCTGCTCCTGCAAACACAGGGTCCATAACCGCTGTGCCTCGGGGTTTTTGTGAGATTGGGGGGTGGGGTGCGGGGGCTCCCTAAACGTCTCTTTGTACCTTGCGCTCCCCCCTCCTCCCAGCTCCCGAGAACAACCGTACGGAGAACGGCCTCCAGTGTCCCGCCTGCGTCGTGCCCTTCCAGGAGACCTGCCCGGGCACCCAGGCCGCCCGCTGTGTGGGCCAGGAAACCCACTGCATCTACTTCGCCGGCAGAGTGCAGGCTGGTGAGGGGCAGGCACCTGGATCTCGGAAGGAGGGGGGCATAGGGGCCCCAGAACTAAGGTGACCAGACGTCCCGCTTTTGGCGGGACAGTCCCGATTTGGAAAGATTTTTGGCAGGACTGTCCCACCCAAAGCGGGACGTCTGGTCACCTTACCCAGAACTGGAGGGAGCCAGTGCTTCCAGGTTCTAGAGGAGATGGTGGCCCCAGAGACCTGGGTGAGGAGGTGGCAGGCCCACGATGTCTAGGTCCTGAGGAGGGAGCGGTTGGGGGCCCTGACTCCATGCTGACACCTCCCTCCCAGGCATCATCAACACCAGGTTTGCCACGCGAGGCTGTGCCACGGAGAGCGCCTGCAACACCAAGCCTGGTGCCGAGGTGCCCTCAGCCTCCTATCTCTACTTCCTCCGCCGGGCAGACTGCCTCCCAGCCCCGCAGCTCCCCGGCAGGGGCGAGTGAGGGTCCGAGGAACGTGTGGCCTGAGGTCCCCACTTGTCTCCGCCTGCAGCTCCCCGTGTGCCTATAATTAAACAGATTGACTGAGCAAGCCCGAGTCTTTATTTTTAAATATATATATATATTTTAATGATTTTTTTACAGAAAGAAAGGGAGAGGGATAGAGTTAGAAACATCGATGAGAGAGAAACATCGATCAGCCGCCTCCTGCACACACCCTCCCCCCCCAAATTGGGGATGTGCCCGCAACCAAGGTACATGCCCTTGACAGGAATCGAACCTGAGACCTTTCAGTCCGAAGGCCGATGCTCTATCCACTGAGCCAAACCGGTTTCGGGTCAAGCGAGCTTGAGTCTTTGATGCATCAGAGGGAGGTGTGTCGTAGAGAGGGGGTGGGGGGGAAACCCTACTTTTATGAAGGGGTTACTCCATGCTGGGACCCTGTGCTAAATGTCTCCCATGCTGTACTTCATCTCATAATCACGGCAACTCCACCATTGGTATATTACCCCCACTTTACAGATCAACAAACCGAGGCATAGGTTAGGGTGTCATTTGCCTTGGGTAAAACCCCTAGGGAGGGTCAGAGTCCTGACCACTTCTCCTGAGTGAGTTTGCCCTCTTTTTGCCTGTTTTCATGTCGGCAAAATGTAGATATCAATAGTTATAACCTCATAGAGTTGTTGTAAGAGTGAAATAATAATAATAATAATAATAAATAAGAGAGCACATAGTGCAGTGCCCAGCACCTCGAAGGCAGTGCTGCTTCTGGAGACACTGTGCCTAAGTGATAATCATCATAAAGGCTGCCACTTACTGAACGGCCTTAGCCTGCAGGTGCTAAGCATCGTCCTCATCAGGACAGACTAGAAGATGATGCTACAGCAACAAGGAAGTCCCTAATCTCAGGGGTTTAAAACAACAAAGCTGTCAAGGCATGCGCAGGCATGCTGTGTAACAATGCATCTCAAGACAGACACAACAATAAGCGATCTTTTTTCTCAAGGCTCGTGGGAGGCCGAGGTGGCTCTGCCGGCTCCTGGTCATGCTCTGGCTGACTTAGCTCTCATGGGAAGATCCAAGTTCTCCTCTTTGGGGTTTCACAAGCTGCTGGGACCAGTGGCTCCCTGGCAGGTCCCAGGAGCACAAAAGCCAAGTGCACGGAAAGCTCCTGCCGAGGTCAGGCCTGCTAGCATTTCGCCGAGTGAAGCATGCGGTCCAAGCCAACATGCGGGGAGCGGGGAGCAGGGAGCAGGGACGTACCCTCCCCTCCAGTGGGAGGGGGAGGAGTGGTATTTGTTGAACAAGCACCGGCTCACAGAAGTCTGATTCTTCCTTCACCTACGTGTTGTGCTTGGCACCATCCACGGTGTTGTGCTTATCGTCCTAAGGCAGCCACGGACGTGAACACTGCCCATTTCTGTGCGCAGGGAAGTCTCACGTGAGCGATTAAACGCTGTGACTCAGAAAGGACTTGACGCAACTCTTCAGATGGAGCTGGTCACACGGCCCCACCAAACCCCACGGGGCCCGGGGTGCAGCCTGGTCCTGTGATGTGGACATGTTGCATGGACAGCATCGATGGCCACTGTGGCCTCTTAGGGGCACTTTCTCGATGTCACAGCGTCATGTGTAGGCACTACTCTTCTCATTGCTGTTTTCAGGAAAAGAATTTGAGGCTCAGAAGGGATGTCACATTGGAGTTCACACAGGTAAAAAGTGGCAGAGCTGGAGATTTTATTTAATTGGTCATGTTGAGGGAGGAGAGACCACATCACAGAGGAGGAAGAAGCCTGTATTAGCTATCTTTTACTATGTAGTAAACCAATCTAAAGGTCAGTGGCGTAGAACAATCACCTTTTATTTTGCTCATGATTTCATGGATCAGCAATTTGGTCTGGGATCAGTTGGGTGGTTCTTCAGCTGGTCCCTGTCATCTAGGCAGCTCTGTTTCAGAGGGTTCTCAAGCTGTGGATTGGGGTGTCACGGCTGACTGGGCCACAACTCTGATGACCCAGCAGATTATCCGGGGTTTCCTGTTGCACTTCCCAAGCCTCTGCCCGTATCATGTTTCCTGTTGTCTTGTGGCCAGGTCTGGAGTCAGAATAAGGGACTATCCAAGGGCATGGCTAGAGAGGCTGAACAAACCGGAGGCATTAATGGACCAGGCAGGTTCGATGTAAGATGCTTTACCATCACAGGGCCCAAGGTCAAAACAGTCACTGGCCCATCCCAACCCCAGGGAGGCAAAACTCAGATAGATAGTCCCTCTCTTATTAAAAAAAAAAAAAAAAAAAAAAGATTTCAGAGAGCATGGGAAATGTGAGATAGAAACACCAATGATAAGAGAGTCATTGATTGCTGCCTCCTGCAGGTTCCACACGGGATGGAGCCTGCAGCCCAGGCATGTGCCCTAACCTGACTGGGAATGGAACTGTGACCTCCTGGTTCATAGGTTGATGGTCACCACTGAGCCATGCTGGCCGGGCTAGATAGTCTCTTGATTCCAGCCGAAGGGAAGCTTTCCTGGACAGAACCCCAACTGTCTTCCCCTTTGGGGCCCAGGAGTCCCCAGCCTTGGCTCCATCCTCCCTGAGACCCACAAGTCCAGGCTTCCAGCTCCAGCTAAAATCCCAAAAGAACAGACACGGAAAGGCATTTCTACTCGGCTTTATTCACTCCAAAAAACCACCACAGGCCAGCCACACCCTCCGTTCACCCTGTGATGGCTCTCCACCCAATGGACTCAGTCCTTCCATCATTATCCAGAAATGCAGGAAACTCAGCAGAGGTGCTGAGGTGGGATGAATGCTCAGTTCTCTGTGCTTATTCTGTTTCTGGCGGGTGGCAACACCGAGATTCATCGTGCATTTCCTGAATTCTTGTCTCTGAGGGTCTTCAGGCTGAAGGTGCCACGTAGACACACCCCATGGCAGCCAGTGATCTGTCCACAGGGAGACGCAGTCTTTTCTGCTGGATGCCCAGACAGATAACGCACTGGCAACCTATGCCTCCACGAAGTCTAAAAGTCAAATGCCACCCAAAGTCATGATTTAAAAGGCAACCACTCCGGAAGGTAGTTGTGCCACTGGACAGTACCACCAACAAAGTTATATACAGGAACACAACCAGCACTCGCCAACAGGCACACGCAAACAACACTGGGTCCTGCCTTCTCAGGTATGATCTCTGGCATGATCCCTATTGGCATAAGGGCAAAGGGGATTTGGAGCAGAGAGCAGAGATGTCAGACAGGACCAAATCAGAGATGGTGTCAAAATGACAGAAAACCAGGGCACTCTGTGAGCAAAAGTAACCAGAATAGTCATCTTGGTGCTGCCTGGGGCTGAGGGCATGTGGACAAGGACAACCAGACTACCCCTTGAGCTCCCAGTGTGCCTGGCTTTTCGGGGGCAGAGGGGAGTGCAGTATGTTGACATGTTAGAGAGAATGCATGCACTTACATAGACACTGAATTCTCACAATACCCAGTAAGGCAGACACCATTTGCTGAGTGACTTGCACCAGGTCACCCCCAAACTCAGCAGATGGTCCAATCCTAGAGTTATAGAATTGTATCCCCCTAAGACTGAGAGCTTTGACAACGCCTGGAGCCATTCCGTGTAGAGCCAAATGCTTTTCCCATCTTCACCATCTCAACTTGAATGTGACAATTGTGCCAGTGGGGGGAGTGCAAGCTGCAGACAGGGAGCCAGCCCTCCAGCACCTGCCCCTCCGATCAGGTAGCCTTGCCTCCAGCTGTCAGAGAAAATGGGGTCTCGGAAGTGATGGTTGTCATCCAGCACTTCCATTCCACAGAGGAAATAAGGCACTGGTCCAAGCCACCCGGGGTGATGGTGGCAAAGCTGTGCTTGCTCCCCAGGTCCCCGTCCTCAGACGGGCACTTTCTCTCCTCATCTCAATCCTGTTCCCTGTCTTGTGGCAAGAGACTGACAATCTACATTTCCAGTCCTAGTTCTAATAAATTAAAGTAATAAATATTTACTAAGCACCTACTGTGTGTCAAGCACTCTTCTGGGTGCTGCGGGTACAGCATAGAACAAGACAGACAAGGGAAAAATAGCTAATAACAGGTAAATAAATAAATAATTGTCTACAGTAATAATTACAAGGAAACCAGTTGAGATGAATATTGGTGCGTGTGTGCGCGCGCTGCTTCAGTTAGAGTGGTCAGGGAAGGTCTCTGAGGGGACATCTGAGCTGAGACCTGATTGACAGGAGCCGCTCATGGAAATTTTAGGCAGAATGCACAAGTTCCAAGGTCCGATGGCCCACTCAGGCATCGGAGGGAAGATCTGGCAAGCTGGCTGGGGGATGGGGTGAGGCAGAGAGTGAGCAAAGGCAGGGGCCAGGCCACACAGAGCCTGTGTGTGCGGTGGGGCCTGGAATCTACCCTCTCTGAGCTTTGCTCTCCCCAGCTAGCACAGAAGTCTTCTACTGGATGGCCTCTCAGCTCCTCCTTGCTGCCCCGCCCCCCACTTGCTGTTTTTGACACAAGAATTCTGTGACCTGCGGCTGCGCCTCTACGTGTAGGTGCAGCCCACAACATCGCAGGCATATGGCTTCTGCCTCTGCCTCACCGTGGCCCATCCCCACAGGTTGTGACACCTGCCCAGTGGTTTTCTGGGTCCCGTGCTCACTGTGGCACTCCCTGTGTACACCAGGGAGCCCACACAGAAACGCTTGGATTAGTGCAGCAGCACAGCGGCTTCTGCAAAAAGGCAGGTGAACAAAAATGCCAAGGCCAGAAAGGGTTCAGGGTTAACGACAGAATAAAGCAAGTCCTAAGGGAGAGTGGGACAGAGAGGAGCAGACTCCCAGAGAGCTCCCGTCACTCAGCACCTATGAAATGGGGCGGTCTTACCCCTCCCCAGTCAGTCACAGAGAGGGCCGTTTCCAGCGGATTTGCAGGAGATACCTCTGAGGTACGGGTTCCTGCCAGAAAGCCTCATTCCTGGTGTCTGACCACCCCCAGAGGCCACCAGGCCCCTTACCTCCTCCCCTCATTTTTGTGTGGCCCCCCTTCCCCAGGAGCAAATACTGAACGTCCCTCTCCTCCCCGACCGCGGAGGGTTTCTGGCTGTCACACACCCTGCTCCCTCCTCTAGACGCAGACCTCCCACCATCAGGAGTCAGGAACCGAGGTCCCTCTTGGGAGCCAGGAGTCTGAGAACCCCGAGACTGCCCTCCCCCTACCCCATGAAAATTCAAAGCCCACTACATCCTTCCCCTAGAAAGCCTACGCCCTACATCCCTTTGTGCCGTAGAAGTCCCTGGAGTACCCAGATCCCTTCCCACATCCTGGAACCCCCAATACGAGGGACGAGTCCCTCACCAGGAATCAGGGCTTCCACACCACCTCCCCCTGGATTAGATGGCCGGTACATGCAGGATCTACTCCCTTCTAGAGTCCAACTGCTCAACTCCCTTCAAGACTCAAGTCCAGGGGTCCTGCCCCAGGATGCCCAGAGAAAGCAGGAGTCCTGACTCCCAGATTCCATTCCCCTTCGAGATCTAGGAATCCGGGAGACTAGAAGCCACATAACCCAACCAACAGCCAGTCTCACCCCCCTCAAGCATCCAGGATTCAGACTGGCGACATACTTGCTCTGTTACCTGAGGCCCAGGCATCCCAGGCCAGAGTTTGGAGCCCCCCAACCCCTTCCTCTAAACCGGACTTGGGAGTCCTCAGCCCCTGGCGGAGCACCCCGGCGGCCCCGGCCTTCATGCCCCCTCTCACTGAGCAGGCGCGTGGGGTGCCAGCACCGCCTCCGCATCAGCCAGCATCTCGTCCAGCGCCTGCAGCAGGACGCCGTGGGCCGCGCGGTAGCCCAGGCCGCCCGTGGCCGCTGCGCCCCCTGCCGGCCACAGGAAGGAGAGCGCCCCCAGCGCCGCGCCGCCTGCGGTGCCCTCGCCGGCCCACGCGCCCAGCCTCGCCTCCACTTCGGCGCGCGTCACGGGGCCGGGGAAGTGCGTCCGCTTGGCCAGCTCCCCAGGAGCCAAGCCCAGCGTGCGCTCGCGCCGAGCGAGGGCTGCGGGTTCGAGCCCCAGCGCCCGCCGCCACTCTGCCAGCTGACCCCGCAGAAGCGCCACGTCACAGGCCCAGCCGAGCCCGGGCACCGGTGCCGCCGCCGCCGCCAGGCTGGCCAGCAGCGCCGGCCGCCAGGCCCCGGCCCGCAGCGCCGCGGCCTTGGTTCGGGCCGTGCGCGGGGACGTGGGGGGCAGCGCCAGCAGCAGCGCGCCCGCCTGGGCCGCGGGGAGCGCGCGCTGCAGCCACTCGCAGAGCCCGGGCAGCCCGCCCCTCCGCAGCGGGAACACGGGCGGCAGCGCCTCCTCCAGCACCTCCCACGTGTCGTCCTGGAGCTCAGGGCTCCAGGCAGCCGCGGGCTCAGAGTCCCCACCGCCCGACTGCTTCGCGGTGCCGCCGACCTGCTGCAAACTCTCAGCGCCTGCTTTCCCCGAACCTTCCCCCTCGCCTGCTTTCTGCGATCCAGGGCCACGTTGGTCCCTTCCCTCGCTGCGTGCCTCCTTCTCTAAGCTCTCCTCCCTGCTGGGCTTCTCGGCCTTCTCCTCTTCCTCCAGAGACTCCGGATCCTCGCCCTCGCCGTCTATTCGCACACAGACCAGCGGGGCGTCCGGCAGCACCAAGGGCCGGACCTGGGCCCAGTCCTCCTCGGTGGGGGCTCCGGGGGTGACCAGGATGAGGGCGTCGTAGTGGGCTGGGTGGGGGGCGGCAGCAGTAGTCTCGGAGCCCAGAGGGACGGTCCAGAGCACCACGTTGGGGCGCTCCGGGGCGGGGTAGGGTGTGGGCCCGGTGGGTGCCGGGTCCCCCGTGTCCAGCCCAAGCAGCATGCCCAGCACGAAGCCCGTGTCGGCGGCGCCGGCTATGGCCAGGTCCAGCCGGGCGCTGCCCAGCCGCTCCAGGCCAGCCCGGACCCAGGAGAGGGCCGCCTCCAGGCCACCCTTCTCGAAGGCCTCGCGTACAGCCTCCAGCTCGGCTGCTCCCAGCACCTCGAAGCCGTCCTGAGCCGGCGGCAGGAGCCTGTGGGGACAGGGAGGCATAGGGTCAAAGGCAGAAAAGGGATGAAAGCCCCAGAGAGCTGGGCTAGTGTGGGAACCCTCAACACGCCCCGCGTGATTAGGGCCCACTCAGGGTCCGGTTTCTGGAGGAGGCCACACACTAAAAAGAAGAGAAACTAGAAAAGAGTTAATTTGGGACAAATGGGGGGCCAGGCAGGAGTCAACCTCTAGTGCACATGTGTCAAACACAAGGCCCGCGGGCCAAATCCGTCCCGCACCGCGCTGTCATCACTGCACTCCGCTGCGTTTCCATCACAATGACAGTTTATGACTGTTCAGTAAACCATTCGGCCCGCGATTTAGGTTGGATTTTAGATTTTGGCCCCTTCTCTGATTGAGTTCGACACCCCTACTCTAGTGGGAAGACTCTCTAGGCTCTGGCCTTGCTATCCCTTTTATTGAGGCTGCTATGGGATGCACCCATTATCCTTAAGCAGCTTTGGGAAACACCCATAGCCCTCAGGCAGGTAATAAGCAGATTATCATATCAGTAAGGATTTACATGATTACAAGATGGGGAAGCTGCCTGTTATTGTCTCAATTAGATAGGGTGTGGTTGGCTCTGACCTTTCAGAGCTTCAAGGTTGACCAGCCTCTTTCTATTAGTGAGACAATGGTTGGTTTCCGGCAGGCTAGGGGACAGGACTGGGCCAGGAGGATGAATGAGTGACAAAGGAGCAGAAAAGGGAGGGGCCAGTTGATGTCCCAGCAAACAGAAACCAGGGCTAAGATGAAAAGAGGTTTAAAGAAGGGATGGGGTGGCTTGAATGAGCTTAAGTTTCCATCAAGGCCAAAAACCAGACCCCGCTGTCTTCCCCAGCAGAGAGTCTTTGGGGTGAGGCTTTTCCTAGGGACCTGCAAGGTTAAGAAAAAGCTGTGCTGGCCCAAACAGGTTTGGCTCAGTGGATAGAATGTCGGCCTGTGGATTAAAAGAACCCAAGTTCGATTCCGGTCAAGGGCATGAACCTTGGTTGTGGGCACATCCCCAGTGAGAGGTGTGCAGGAGGCAGCTGATCGATGTTTCTAACTCTCTATCCCTCTCCCTTCCTCTCTGTAAAAAATCAATAAGATATATTTAAAAAGAGAAAAGGCTGTGCTGGGTGGGGTAAAAACAAGCAGGCAGGGCTTGGAGCAAAGACGGAATGAGCACTGCATTAAATGAAAGTTCAGAACTATTCATTATTCCACATGGGCAAGGTCACCAAGAGGGCTCCTTCCTGACACTGGGCGTAAGGAAGGGAGGAGAGGCCAGGGAGAAACCTCATCTACTAGTTCTCACGGGGGCCATGGCTAAGGAAAACAGATGAGCAGCGGGACCGGGGAGAGGCTGCACTCCCTAAGCCAGAGGCAGCCAGCAAGTGGGCACAAAAATGAGAGGAGATTAAAGAATGGCAGTGGGTGAGGGCACCCAGAAATAATGATGCTCACCGAGGGTGTGGCTTTAGGGCAACGGGGGTCCCTTGAGAACCAGGCTGATGGGGAGGACGAGGAAGATTTGAGACTACAAGCCTTCGGGTAAAATCTCTGAGGATCACAAGCGTGTGTGGGAGAGAGAGCCCTTCTTCAGGCTTCTGCATGGGGGCGGAATGTGGGTGACAGCTCCCAGCCTCTGCTGGAATTCTATTTAGGGAGAGCCTGGTGACCTCAGAGCACTCAGGAGGAGGGACCTGGGTGACGGGTCCTGACCTCCTGCAGGCCCCCAGCACAGGGTGGAGCCTCTCTAACAAAAGAGGGTCAAGCAGCCAAAACCGGTTTGGCTCAGTGGATAGAGCGTCGGCCTGCGGACTAAAAGGTCCCAGGTTCGATTCCGGTCAAGGGCATGTACCTTGGTTGCGGGCACATCCCCAGAGGGGGGTGTGCAGGAGGCATCTGGTCGATGTTTCTCTCTCATCGATGTTTCTATCTCTGTCCCTCTCTCTTCCTTTCTAATAAATCAATAAAATATATTAAAAAAAAAAAAAAAAAGAGGGTCAAGCAGAGCTGCTTGCATCACTGACCACAGAAAGTGAGCTTAGGGGCGGGGCCTGGCTTCTTGGATTTGGGAACAGGGCCCCCAGCAGTTCCACTTCAGGCTAGCCCCAAACTTGCGGGGGGCGGGGTCTGGGAGATTTACCGAGCACCCCTGGAGTGAGGTCTACATGAAAAGACCAAGCGTCCCCAACCCACCCTGAACCGCCAGGCTCACCTCTGCAGTGCCTCCGCCTGGCTCCGCAGCGTTGCCCGCAGGCGCTCCAGTTCCTCGCAGCCGCCTTCGCAGTCCGCCTGCAGCACGTAGAGCGGCACGGCGCCCAGCCCAGCGCTGGCCAGGAGGGCCGCTGTCTGATCCCGGGCCTGGGCTTCATCCTGGGGGTCCCCGGGACGGAGGTTCCGCACAGCCAGCAGCGGGGTTCCTCGGGCCAGCGCGGCCCGCGCCGCCTCCCCCAGCGCCGGGGCCAAGGGCTCGTCGGTGTCCTCGGGGCTGGGCAGCACCAGGACCAACATGTTGGCCTCCGCTGCCCAGGGCCCCGGCGCGGCGGGCGGGCAACTCAGCTCCCCCAGGAAGAGGCCCGGGCCCGCAGCTCGCAGGCTGGGGAGCCCGGGGTCCGGCCGCCCGTCGGGGATCTCTACCACGTCCACGTCCTTGTTGCAGAGCGCGGCCACCAGCGCGGACTTCCCGGCGCCCGGGGGCCCCAGGAGCAGGGCGGTGACGTCACCGCGCGGCAGGGGCATCGCTGGAAGGCAAGCGCCGGGGAGACGGCGGTCAGGGGGCGCCCGGCCCTTTTCTAGGCTGACAATCCCACGCTGGCCCTACACTTCAGTCCTCCGCCCTGTCCCCTTCCTCCGTTCTCGGGTATCACCCCCAGGGACCCGGAGTCCTCTCCGGTCCTCCTTATGGATGCGTTTCCCTTTCTACTTCAAAAACTCAGAAGTCAGGCCTCTAGCCCTCCTCTTCCCTCTGGACCACGTTTATTTTTAACCCCCCACCCCTCCCTCCCAAATCACCCACCGAGCAAACGGCCGGAGGGTGCTGTCGCACAGGCGCTGGTGGCGGGCCCGCCGCTGAGAGGTCGGACGGCCGGGGACCGAAGAGGCTGGAGCGCCGGGGTTTGGGGTCCTCCGGACGTGTTCGGGGAGCTCTAACCTGACGTCATTCCTCCTAGGAGGAGGTGCCGAGGGAGTGTGATCTCGGGGACCCGGCCCTTCGCGGCGCCTGCGCAGAATGGCGCCAGGAGCACGCTCCCTCCGCGCAGCCGCAGAACCGTGACCAATGAGGAGCCAGGGCGCCTGCGCAGAATGGCGCCAGGGGCTCGCTCCCTCCGCGCAGCCGCAGAACCGTGACCAATGAGGAGCCCGGGCGCCTGCGCGCCGGGAGCGCCTGCCACACCTGCCACACCTGCCACACCTGCGCAGTGACAGGTCCGGACACCTGCGCAGTGACAGGTCCCGGCGGCACGGGCGGCGGTGGCGTCATCATGCCGCTCCCCTGGGCGGAGAAGGACCCTTCCTGCTGTTTTCAGGACCGGGTGGCACGCCTGCATCCCTGCGGAGTGGCCATCCAGGATCTCATAGGGCGGAAGAACATGGAGACCACCGGGACCTTGAGACCCGGCGGGCCCCACCCGGCTTCCCTCCGGGGGGCGGCGCGATGACGGGCCACTGACAGGCGCCACGCCAGGCAGCCTTCCTGCTGTTGGGAGCCAAGCGGAGGCCCGGGCTGCCCACCTGGAAGCGCGAGGAGGCGGGGCTCTGGGTGGAACCGGTCTCGGGATGTCGGAGAAGGCTGTCTACCGGGAGGAGGCGGGCTAAAGCGTGGGTACCACCGCCTGCCCCAGGAATGGTGGGAGAGACGGGGACGAGGATGGTGTCAGATCCAGGGTCCGCGCTCCGAGTCTAGGGAGCTGGTTTGCTGTAGATCTTGGGTCTCACACAGGTGGGATGGCTCTAAGGGGAGTCACAAACCCAGGGAATAGAATCTTTAGGGCGATAAGGGGTTTGAAGTTTCTCTAGTGAGAGCTCCATCATATTAGAGTTCAAGGAGAGAGTATTGCCACGGGGTCAAGGGCTGCAAAGGAGAGCCTTCGTGGGCTCGGGCTGATGACAGATGAGCCGCCTCTTTTGATTTTCTGTTCTATCATGCGTGCTCCTCTCTTGACCAGACGGGTTCTAGTCACCATGGAGGACCCGCTTCCCGAAGAGACCATGGAGCAGCTGGATTTGTCAAAAGAGGGGAGTCCCCGCAATGCAGGAGGTGACATCTGTGAGTACCGCTGGCCAGGGGTGGGGGTGCAGGAACTGATGCTAAAAGAATTTCTGTAGCATTTCAGTGTCCAAGGCGCTGTGGGGACTTGCCTGTTGGGGAGCTAGTCCTACAGGAACTGCCACTCCCCTTCTTTGCTCTTATTACGCTCAGATGTACCCACCTGCTCTGTCCACACAAGTAGGAATGGGGTGCAGTTCAGAGGGACAAAATCCCTCTTGGGATTGAGATGGGAGATGTGGCTGGGATACCACAGAGACTGAGAGGAACCCCAAGGTTCCAGTTCCAACGCTGGGCAGACTTGCAGTGGGGCTTGGGACCTGGTCTCCCTGGCTGTGAAAAAAAATCTGCCATCACTCACCTCTCCTCGCCACAAAGGGGTGTTATGTAGGTTCCTGGCAGAAAAGATGAAAACTTGAGGGTCATGGAGGTAGCCAGTTTGACATAATAGCAACAGCTCCCGCTGAATGCTTACTACCATCCAGACCACCTCACAAAGCCTATGGAATCCGTTATCACTTTCAGTTGAGGGAACCGAGGCAAAGGGAGGTTAATTATTTGTAAGGACTGCCCGAGTCAATGCCCTCCAGCCAAAGGGAGATGACCCTGGAACACACCCGAGGTCATTATTGCTCACTACGCTGCGGAGGCACACACACTGCAGGGGCACCAACTGCTTCTAGGATTGGAGTTTGTGGTAGGTGATGTTGGGGCGAGTTTAAGGAAGAGGGTTTTTGCTCTGGATTGGATGGTGCCAGGAATCAGGGCGACTCTTTGGCTGGCAATCTTAAGAAATCTTACCTAGCAGGCAGAGGAGCAAGTAGGGCACCTGCTGTGATTGGCAAAGCAGCAGTCACCTCTCATATTAGCCAGGACGGGAGTGGCAGGTGTTTGGTCGTTTTTGTGGGTTGGACAATATTAACGTTTTGTCTGTGTTCAGATGCAATTATGGCATGATCTTGCGCGCCCCTCCCCCCCCTAAAACTGTACAAACGCCTTAAGTGGTTTCAAGGGGAAAAAGAGGGGATATGACAGCTCTGGCTCTGAGGCAGCTTCACAAACTCTGTGGCCGCCCTCCCATTGCTGGCTTGATTCAGTCAGTGTGGCCGTGTCTGATGGTTTTCTGTAAAATAGTTTATATTCAACAGGACAATGCCAAAGCCCATCTATAGTGCCAGGCCAGCTCCTGGCTGTGGGCTGCTCTTCTCCTTCTTAATGGTAATAATTCAAACCACTGTGTAGAGTGTTCTAAGCCCTTTATGTAAATTCGTTCATGCATTGCTTACAACAGCCCCATCAGGTAAATACAGATGGGGCGATGGCCCCCAGATGAGGAACCGATTGTGCCTGCCTGGAAATAGTAGAACCAGCCTCCAGAGGCTGTGCTGATCACCCGGCAGTACTGGAAGGACAGAGTCCCTGGGTCCCAGCCCTAACTCCATTTCACTTCCTAACCTCATGACTGTGGGAAAGTTACCTAACTTTTCTGAGCCTCAGTCTGCTTACCCATAAAACAGGCCCAGAAATAATTTGCCTGGACTGCTTGCTGCCCAGCCCTGGCATACAGCCTGGCACACAGTAAGCACTGAATGTTCATCGTTGGCACGATGCTGGGGCTTGGGAGAAGTCCTGGAGACTTGCTGGCCTCCCCCTGCCTCTCCCCATGTCCCTCAGGCCATCTGGGGCCCCTGCAGTGCACCCGCTGCCTCATCACCTCCGCCAGTTCCAAGTTCCAGGAGCGCCAAGTGAAGCGGGATCACCCAGCGGGCTTCACGGCCCAGAAGCTGCAGGGGGCCCTCTTCGTCGGCTTCACCTGCGCCTGCTCCTTCCCCTCCTCCAGGGCCCTGATCGCCCACCAGCGCAGCCACAGTCCTGCCGCCAGGCCCTCCCTGACGGCTGCACCCTCCATTGCCCTGACCACGTTCCCCTGCCCCGACTGTGCCAAGACCTTTGGGCAGGCCGCTTCTCCGAGGTGGCACCGCCGGGTGCATGCGGCCCGCTTCCCGCCTGGCCCCTTGGCCTGCACTGAGTGTGGGCAGGACTTTGCCCAGGAAGCCGGGCTGCATCAGCACTACATCAAGCATGCCCTCGGGGACCTCCGAGCGCAGCTCCAGCCCTGCCCGGGGCAGGGTGGGCTCCGGGCTGGTGGGACTACCTTTAATAACGGGATGGGCCCTCGGAGGAATTTGCTGGAAAGGCAAAGGGCTCCTGATTAATAGAAGCCGGAGAATATGCTCTTTAGAGCTTCAGTCCTTGGAGGACAGAAAGGCCTTCGGGGCAACGGTGAAATCAGACAATCGTGAGGTCTTTTGTTAAATATCTACGAGGGAACATTATTTTCATCTCCCTCGTTCCCAATTAAGTCTTTTGAAACCACCAGCAACTGCGGGTTGTGTAATCACCTTTCATTCTCTCCAGATGGATGCCATGGACTGTGGGAGCACATGCCTGGCTTTGTGCCTGACGGGGCCGGGGAGCCACCAGATGGGTCCCGGGCATGGGCAGCAAGGTTAGGAGCTGCACTGAGGAACGTGGGGTTGCGGTTCAAATCTGCCTTCTCTCCGCCCTCCCCCAGCCTTTCCCGCCGAGGGGCCACGGCATTGGGTGGCTTTGTCCTCGCTCCAGATAATTCACTGCCATTTAAGTAATTTTATGTACTATTCTAGTCATGGATGTTTTGCATATGTGTAGGTGAAATGACATGAATAGCCGGGACCGGTTTGGCTCAGTGGATAGAGCGTCGGCCTGCAGACTGAAAGGTCCCGGGTTCGATTCCTGTCAGGGGCATATGCCTTGGTTGTGGGCGCATCCCGCAAGAGGCAGCTGATCGATGATTCTCTCATCGAAGTTTCTAACTCTCTATCCCTCTCTCTTCCTCTCTGTGAAAAATCAATAAAATATATTAAAAAAAAAAAAAAAGAAATGACATGAATAAACTAACAGAAATAGTATCTAAAGACAGAAAAGCTCTACATTGAGATAGCTAAACAAGAGACTCTGGTTTTTTCAGCAGAAATTCCCCGAGTACATAAGAAGGACAGGAGGGGGATGTTAGGGCTGAGCCCTGTGAGGAAACTGGTTTGGAATCAAACAGAGATACCTTCTGTTTCCTGTTGTATTTGGCCAGCGCTGGGAGATTTCCCATTAAGATCCTATTTCAGCTCCTGGAAAGCCCATCCTCGGCGGAGTGTCACCTGGCCGATTTAACTCCCTTGCATACCTGCCCTGCCCCTAGACACAATGCTTGATGCCCTGTATTAATAATCATGGACTCATTTATTTATTTATAATATTTTTATTGATTTTTTATAGAGGAGGAGAGAGGGATAGAGAGCTAGAAACGTCAATGAGAGAGAAACATCGACCAGCTGCCTCTTGCACACCCCCTACTGGGGATGTGCCGCAACCAATGTACATGCCCTTGACCGGAATCGAACCCGGGACCTTTCAGTCCGCAGACCCGACGCTCTACCACTGAGTCAAACCGGTTTCGGCAATCATGGACTCATTTAAATTGAAGGATGTTTTTAAAGCCCACAGGTGGAATGGATGTGGTAATGACTGACAGCTGTCTCCCAATTGTTAGCTAGGCAAATGATGGCTACAAAGACCACATTTCCCAGATCCTCTTGCAGCTAGCAGTGGCCATGTGACTAAGTTCTGGCGAAAGTCCTGGGTAGAGTCCTCCAGCTTCAGAAAGGGACACGCCTTTCTTCCTCCTTCTGCCTGGAATGTGGACATGGTACCCAGGCATTTTGCACCATGAGAGCAACAGATGGGATGACAGAGCAATTTCATGCAGCACTGCCATCCCATCAGCCCGAGAACCCACTTTCCTGCTGTTATATAAGAGAGAAATAAGCCTCTGTCTCGTTTAAGTGCCATTAGTTTGGGTCTCTGTCACATGCAGCAAAATGTATAGCCTAAGGCAGGTGTCTGCAAACTGTGGCCAAATCCAGCTTACCTCCTGATTTTGCAAATAAAGTTTTATTGGAACACAGTCATGCTTGTTCATTTACATATTGTGTATGGTTGTTTTCACATAGGACAGCAGATTCGAGGAGCTGCAACAGAGATTATAAAGCCTACAACAGTTACTATGTAGACCATTACAGCAAAAATCTACCAACCCCTTCTCTAACTAACAGACATACAGCCTGCTCTGTGCCGGAGGCAGGGTTTCCGCCCTGGGAAACATATCTGTGACAGGGATGTTTGTGTATTGGGTTTGGGGCAGGGCTAGCTAGCCTGTATCTCTTTCTTGGGGTGACTTTGGAGAAACTGGTTTGTAGTCATTTGGCCATCAGTGTTTTCTAAGATACAACTTTAACAAGGCTGAACATCTCCTCTGGCACATGGCTAAAGCCCAGAAGTTTCTGACCAGACGTTTAACACTCCACCCCCCTCTCCAGCTGCCCTCCCCACAGCCCTGCCAAGCCTAAGGATCTAGTCCCTCATGTTCTCCTGAGACAGCTGCCTGCCCTCATATACCTCTTCTCTCTACTCTCTCCAGATGTCACACATTCATAAGACTTTGTATAGTGTCACTGGTGACTCCCAAATCTATCATCGGCTCAGAACCCAGACTCTCTCCATGAGATACAGCCGCCTGGACTGACAAATAGGAGCTGCAAACTTAAAGTGGATCCCCTGCAGTCCCCTACCTCCACCATAGCTGCCATTGTATTAGTAAACCACACACTCTGCCTCTAAATTCCTGAAGAATCTGATTACCTTTCCCCTGTCCTACTCTCCTAATGGATCCCCCTGCAATGACTCCCCACTTCCAGTCTCCATCACAGACCAACCCCTGGGTATGTAAATCAGCTTATGCCACTTCTCATTTAAAACCCTCCAAAGGCATCCCATAAATGACTTCCAAAGACCTTCTTCCCCAGGCCCACAAAACCCAACAGTGACTGAGCCCCCGCCCACTAAGCAATCCCCACTCCCTCCTTGCTCTATCTTCTTCATCTCTCTCCAGCCACACAAACCAGGCTGGCTTCTGCCTCAGTGCCTTTGCACTTGCTGTTCCCTCTGCCTGGAGTGCTCTTACCCAGAGCTTCGCAAAGCCACTTCCTCATTATTCAGGTCTCCATATGTGCCATCTCAGAGAGGTCTTCCTTTACCCGATTGGCTAACATAGCACCTCGAACTCTTACCTTGATTTAATTTCTTCCCACCATTTTTCAACACCTGGAATTATCACGCTTATTTATTTCATTTTTATCTGTGTCCTTAGGTTGGAATCCAAGCTCCTGAGGGCAACTGCTTCACCTGTAGCACTTAGGACAGTGCTTACCAAAGAGAACTAAAAAATATTTCTTGGCTGTGTGTTAGCCGTGTCTGTTGGCCTGCAGCCTGCCTTAGAAAGCTGGCTTCCTAAGTTCTGCCATGAGGGATGTGGGCAGACCGGAGGTAGGAAGAAGGGGAAAGGGCCTCACCTTGCTTTGGACTCTTGCTGGGACTCCTCCAGCAGCAGCTCGGGCTCCAGGACCTCCCCACACTCACACCAGGCACTACGCCCCTCTTGAGGTTTAAGCACCAGCACGTGGCACCTTGTTGCTGGTCCCTGCACCGGCCCCACGAGGCCTGCCCTTCAAGCACCTATTGGGCCCCGGTAATCTCACCTCTCTTCCGAATCCCAGTCCCCGAGGTGGGAGCTTCTTGCAAACACATTTCTGGGTTATCTCACTTCACGTTTTCACTTTTAGCCTTGTAACACCTGTGTGACCAATTCCCTGAATTAAATCCTCTCGGAATTCTAGCTTGGTTTCCACACTCTTGCTGGGCCCCTAGGGACAGAATGATCCCACTGGCAGCAGACTGGGTCTCTGATTCTTGGGAATTTTTGCTAACAAATGGGTAATTCTCTACATCTATGCTTAGAAAGCAAGGCCTGTCTGAGGGCAAAGGAGGGCTTACACATGCTGCCCCAGGAAGTAAAAACCCATCCATGTTTTTTTGTTGTTGTTTTTTTTAAATATATTTTATTGATTTTTTACAGAGAGGAAGAGAGAGGGACAGAGAGTTAGACACATCTATGAGAGAGAATCATCGATCAGCTGCCTCTTGCACACCCCCTACTGGGGATGTGCCTGCAACCAAGGTACATGCCCTTGACCGGAATCGAACCTCGGACCTTTCAGTCCGCAGGCCGACGCTCTATCCACTGAGCCAAACCAGTTCCGGCCATCCGTGTTTTAATGAGCTGTGCATTTCAGCTTTGAGGATTCTGAGATTCAATAATGTTAAGCTATAGTAGATATGTAAGTTTCAGTGGATAAATGTCAGGTTCTGAGATTTGGAGCTTGCAGTATGAAAAGCATGAGTTTTGAGAAATGTTTTGGTTGCCCTGGACAGTGTGGCTCAGTTGGTTGGAGTGTTGTTCTGTGCACCAAAGGTAGCCGGTTTGATTCGGTCAGAGACATACCCAGGTTACAGGTAGAGCCCCAGTTGAAGCACGTGTGAGAGGTGACCAATCAGTGTTTCTCAAATTGATATCTTTGTCGCTGTCTCTCCTCTCCTCTCTCTAAAAATAAACTTTAAAAAAAAAAAAAAGATGAAAGATGCTTTGGTCTAACATCCTATAACTGGCATCAAAATGCAGGTGTTGCCCTGACCGGTTTGGCTCAGTATGGAGAATCGGCTTGCGGACTCAAGGGTTCCAGGTTAGATTCCCATCAAGGGCATGTACCTTGGTTGCAGGCACATCCCCAGATGCAGGTGTGGTGTGCAAGAGGCAGCTGATCAACATTTCTCAGTCATCGAAGTTTCTAACTCTCTATCCCTTTCCCTTCCTCTCTGTAAAAAATCAACAAAATATATATATTTTTTAAAATATAAATGTTCTTTGGGGCCAAGCAGGTAATATAAATCAATGAAGCAAGCAGGTATGAAAAGTCCAGACCAGGTGATGGGGACTGGGCACATGGCAGGGAATGCCCACATTAACCCGAGGTGACCCTTACTCAGTTCCCTCAAATTATTGCCCCATGGGATTGTGGGTTTAGCAATCAAGATTACAGTTTTTCAAGAGAAGCCAGACACCTTCATTTCTATATGAAATCTGCCTGGAGGACATTTTCTTTTGATTTTTAGAGGGAGGGGAAATGAGAGGGAGAGAAACATTGATCAGCTGCCTCCCACATGCACCCTGTCTGGGAATCAAATCCTCGACCTTGGCAGGACGACACTCTACCAACTGAGCCACAGCAGCCAGAGCAAATCAGAGCATTAAAAAATTTTTTTAATTGATTTCAGAGAAGAGAGAGGGAGAGAGACAGAAACATCAATAATAATGCCTCCTGCCGAAACCGGTTTGGCTCAGTGGATAGAGCGTCAGCCTGTGGACTGAAAGGTCCCGGGTTCGATTCCGGTCAAGGGTATGTACCTTGGTTGCGGGCACATCCCCAGTGGGGGGGTGTGCAAGAGGCAGCTGATCGATGATTCTCTGTCATCGATGTTTCTGGCTCTCTGTCCCTCTCTCTCCCTCTCTGTAAAAAATCAATATATTAAAAAAAAAAAAAAGACATGTTTAAAATAATAATAATAATAATAATAATAATAATAACAACAACAATACCTCCTGCATGTCCCCTACTGGGGATTAAGCCTGCAATCCTGGCAAATCCAACTGACCTCCTGGTTCATGGGTCTACTGAGCCACACCAGCCGGGCTGCCCATTTTTAAATGTTGGTAACCAACGTGATTGAAAAATCTCAATAATTCTGTGGAGACTAAACACACTCCTGCAAGTCCGAAGGTGGCCGGGGACAGCCAGACTTCTATTTCTGGTGGCTTCATGGCCAAGGCTGTGTGCCCTGCATCCAGTTGTCTGGGATCAAGTTTGCGTCCTGCTAGTTACTGGGGGCTAACTCAGTGTCTCTGCCCCAGCTGTAGCAGCTGTAAAATGATCATGATGGCAGACCCTGTGTCTCTAAAGATAATGACGATGACTCAGACTTAGAGAGAAGCCTAAGTCAGTATACTGGTCTGCTTCCTCACTAACATCCCAAGCAGGCTCTCACGGCAGGCCTTTGCACCTGCTGTTCCCGCAGACAGCCACAAACTCACTCTTCTCCTCCTCTGGGTCTCTGTCCCGTCACCTGCTCCGTGAAGCCTTCCTGGACCCCCCCCCCCACACTGCTTGGAACTGCTTCACACACACACACAAGCCTCGCTATCCCCTTTCCCTCCACAGCACTTTCTACCTTCCTACAGTATATCCTAGATAATAATCCTACATAATAAAAGGGTAATACGCAAACTGACCCTAATGGTGTAACAACTGGGGAACTACCAGTCGCATGATGTGCGCTGACCACAGCTGCCCCCTGGTGGTCAGTGCCTCCCATAGGGGGAGCTCCACTCAACCACAATCAGGGCTGAGGATGTGCAACTGCAGGGGGGGGGGGGGTGGTGGTGGTGGTGGTGGTGTCCCCCTAAGCTGTCAGTTGGACATCCCTCCAGGGCTCCCCGGCTGCCAGACAGATGTCTAACTGCCAGCTTAGGCCTGATCCCCTGGGGAGTAGGCCAGGTTGAGGGACACCCCCCCCACCCCCCAGCCCCCAATCAGGGCATAAGGCCTCTAGTGAATTTTATATTTTGCTTAAATATCTAAAGTGTCTGTCTTCCCCAGGTTAACTTCCACAAAGGAAATGCTTTTGTTCATCATGTTCGCCATTCTATTCCCAGCTCCCAAAATAGTGCCTGCATCTCATAGATGCTCAACAAATCGTTGTTAAATGAATGAGTAAATACAAAACAGTCCTGCCCTGGCCGGTTTGGCTCAGTAGATAGAGCGCCAGCCTGTGTACTGAAGGGTCCCAGGTTTGATTCTGGTCAAGGCCACATGCCCAGGTTTTGGGCTCAATCCATAGTTGGGGGTATGCAGGAGGCAGCAAACCCATGATTCTCTCACATCATTGATGTTTCTATCTCTCTCTCCCTCTCTCTGAAACCAACAAAAATATAGATTAAATAAGTAAATAAATAACGGTCCCTACCTTTGCGCTTAGCCCAGGGCCTGGTCCACTGTGAGCGATGACTTGATGGTCATTGTGGAAATTCCGGTTCTATTCTCGAAGGTTCTTAGTTGCCAAGCTTCTGAGTTAACACAAGTAAAGCGCCTTAGAACAGGATTGGCACACAATAAATGCTCAGTAAATCATACCTATCGTAATAATAATTAGGCTTCTATGGTGCCAAGCTTCTGTGAATTAGTACTTCCCACCTCAGAGGAAGAGCCAAAGCGTGCACAAAGCTGTAAGGATTGGCCCCCTCCTCCCCTCCAGCTCTGCCCTCCTTCCTTCTCCAGGGCCTCTGGTCTTCCCGATTCTGGCAGACCCCTGCCTCTTTCTACCCGGAATGCTCTTCCTACCGCTGTGCACAGCTCCTCCTCTCCCGCCCCCTTCAGGTCTGTCACCTCCTCAGGGAGGATTACACTCTTTAAAACTGCAACCCCCTCGGCCAGGTGTGGCTCAGTGGTTGAGTGTGTACTTGAGAACCAGGTCATGGTTCAATTCCTGGTCAGAGCGCCTGGGTTGCAGGCTCAATCCTCAGTAGAGGTTGTGCGGGATGATTCTCTCATCATTGATGTTTCTTTCTCTCCCTTCCTCTCTGAAATTAATCCTATATAATAAAAGCCTAATATGCAAATCTACTGAATGGTGGAATGACCAGTCGCTGTGACACACACTGGCCACCAGGGGGCAAAGGCTCAATACAGGGGCTGCCCCCAGCTGCCAGGCCAGCTAAGGACGGTGCTAGTGCTTCCCCCCCCCGCCCCCCCCGCCAAATTACCCTGCAGAGGAAGGCAACCAGCAATGGCCAGCTGAGTGGGCGGCATCAGGCCAGTCATGGCAGGTGCCAGCAGAGGTCCCCTAATCGCTCCGCTTTCACTCCACAGATCAGCCCTGATCACGGGCCAGGCCTGGGGACTTTCCCACACAAATTTTGTGCACCAGGCCTCTAGTAAACATATTTTAAAAAATTGCAACCCCCTCCCCTGCCTCTTCTGCTCAGCAGCCGTCACCCAGCACATGCTACACCTTGTTCACTGTCTGTCCCCACCAACGGCCCCTTTCTGCCCCCCTATAAGCCCCGAGGACAAAGATTTCATTGGCTTATTCCCAATGCTTACCACACAGGTCCTCAAACAATGTTTGTGAAACGAACTAATGAATCACAGTCCCTCCCTCCGAGCTATTCTAAGGACTGGATGATCTCATGGCTGTAAGTGCTGGGAAAATGGCAATTGATTGTAATTTTCTATTTTTGTAAGTTCCTAGACGCACAGCATCTAGAAAGCAATTGGGCTCGCACTTGGCACAGGAAACTGTGATTATAATGAAAGTCCTCTTTGTGCAGGTTGTTAGGGGAAGTGACAAGGAACAGGAGCTGTCCCCCACAAATCGTTTTCCTGCTTTCTGGGCACTTGGCTGGGCCGCCTTCCCAGACTCCCCTGCAGTGAGCAGTGGCCACATGGCATAAATGCAAGCAGCACAGGCCACTTCTGGGCGAGGCTGGGGCTTGTAAAAGAATAGCTTCCCAAGCTCCCAAGCCATAACCAAAGGGATGATAGTGACTTTAAGAGATGGTCTGGGTTCCCAAATCATTAGATGGATGCTCGCAAACTTGAAATACCCACTGGGCTATTATGTGAACAAGAAACAAAGTTCTGTTGTGCTGGAGCCTGCACATCATGGGTTCTGTGAGTAAATACATGGAAACCACACTGAACACAGTGCTTAGTAAATGTAATCATCTAGGCAACAACAAACCTAAAGTTCCCTCAAGAACTGTGGTTCTCAACCTTCCTAATGCCGCGACCCTTTAATACAGCTCCTCAGGTTGTGGTGACCCCCAGCCATTAAACTATTTTGGTTGCTACTTCCAAACTGTAATGTTGCCACTGTTAATGAATCATAACGTAAATATCTGTGTTTTCCGCTGGTCATGACCCACAGGTTGACAACCGCTAGCAGGGTCGCCTAAGACCATCGGAAAACACAGGTATTTACGTTACGATTCATTAACAGCAGCAAAATTAGTTCTGAAGTAGCAACGAAAATAATTTTATGGCTGGGGGCCACCACATGAGGAACTGTATGAAAGGGCCGTGGCATTAAAAAGGCTGAGAACCGCTGCTCTAGAAGGAGCCCGGGGGGGTGAGGGGCAGACAGATGCCCAGGCGTATGCCTCATACGCTGGAGTGTAAACACACACGCGCGCACGCACATACACACACGAACACCAAACACACGCTGGACCGACACACAGAATTTGGCTTTTATTCTGGCCTCACACATACCGCTGAGATGACACAGACGGGCAGTACTCCGTCCCCCAGGACCACCTCCTCCCGCCTCCCGCCTCCCGCCAAGCTTCTGGGCAGGGGCCGTGCTACACCTCACCCCGGGCATGCAGCATGAAGTGCCCATGCAGCTCCCCGAGGCTGTCGAAGGAATCCTCGCACTCCGTGCAGTGGTAGGTGCCCTCCTCGTCCTCGTCCGGCTCCTCCTCCTGCCGGGCGGGGTGGCGCCGGCCCCCCCCAGCCCGGGCCGGCTCTCCCTCTCCCTCCCCGAGCACCCTGACTTCGGGAGCTGGCGCTTCCTGGGCGGCCGCGGTGGGACGGCAGAGCCGGCAGGGCGGAGCGCCTGGCGGGGCCTCCCCGAGGGACGAGCGGCCGCAGAGCTGGCAGGGCTGGGCTGGGGGGTCCGGGGGCTGGGCTGCGCGGGGAGCCCGGCGGGAGGGGCCCCCGCGGCCCCCTCCCAGGCGCTGCTTCACTTTGTAGCCTGGGTCATATTCGGGGTCGTCGGTGGTCTCCTCTTCCTCCTCCTCCTCCTCCTCCTCCTCTTCGGAGTCCGGCTCTGAGTGTGTGTATTCGGAATTAGAGGAGTGCTCGGGGCCTGTAGGGGACGGGTGAGGAGAGACGGCGGCATCAGAGGACAGAGGCCCGTGCCTGGTGGCTGTCCCCACCCTGAGCCCCATTCAGCCAGGCTCAGCCTCAGATGGAGAGGGGGGCTTGGGCACAATCCTGCCCTTCCCCGCAGACGGCTGCCCACGGCAAAGAACAGGGCCCCTCAGTGTCTGTGTGTCCAGCAAATCAATCTTATAAGAACGGTATCTTGCCGAAACCGGTTTGGCTCAGTGGATAGAGCGTCAGCCTGTGGTCTGAAAGGTCCCAGGTTCGATTCCGGTCAAGGGCATGCACCTTGGTTGCAGGCACATCCCCATTGGGGGGTGTGCAGGAGGCAGCTGATCAATGTCTCTCTCTCATCAATGTTTCTAACTGTCTATCCCTCTCCCTTCCTCTCTGTAAAAAAAAAAAATCAATAAAAAAACATACTTAAAAAAAAAAAAAACGGCATCTCAGGATAGCGGTTAATAAGGACAAAATGGGAGTAAAAGTGGGAGCGGCGGCAGCAGCAGTGGGCAGCAGCTGTGTCCGTTGCTTTTGGAAGAGCCCGTCTCATGTAGTAACTCACCTAATCCTTACAGCAGCCTGTGAGGGAGGCACTGTTATTATTCCTAAGTGACAAATGGGGAAACTGAGGAACAGAGCAGTCAGGCCTCTAGTCGTACAGTTCTAACGGGGAAAGCTAAATATGGGCGACGGCCTCTGAGGGTCACTTTAGGGAGAAGGACAAACATTTGAACAGATATTTAAACGAATTAAAAGACACGATCTCTATGTACTTCGATGTATGTGGTTTTATATACAGTCATGTGCTGCTTCATGAAAGGGCTGTGTTGTTCTAATAGATGATTCATTTGGCAATTCTGTTGTTGTGTGAGCATTACCGGGTGCTTTTACGCAAATCTACACCGTCTAGCCTACTCACACCCGGGGTATTACTCTGTGGGGAGCAAAAATAATCTCCCTCTGCCCTTCTGGGTTGCTGGCCGAGACATCCCTGTAATAAAGACAGACTCACAGGAGAAAAAAAAAGTCTAGTAACCCGTATACATGGAAGACTCAGGAAAACAGAGTAGTTCACCAAAAACCAAAATGGCTAAAGCCACCATCACCTTAAATATAAGGTGACCAGACATCCCGCTTTTAACCGGACAGTCCCGATTTTTAACAATTCGTCCAGCGGTGTCTTAAAAAAGATTTAATCTAATCGGGACATTTTTTAAGACGCTGCGGGACAAATTGTTAAAAATCGGGACTGTCCCTCCAAAAGGGAGACGTCTGGTCACCTTACTTAAATACCTTCCTGTTGAAGATAAGATGTTGGGGGTGGGAGGGTGGGGTCAGCTATGGCAGATTACCGGAAATAGTGGTAGACAAGGGTAAGGTTGTTATGCAGATTTAAGTCCTGGTCTTCCCACAAGGATGAAAATTTCTAGAGATAAGGTCATCCCCCTTCCTGGTTCTTGCAGGAGACACCCTTACAGATGTAAATGCCTTTTATAAAGGGTAACTTCTACTGGGTTTTCAGAGCTTCTCCCAAGCAGCTATTTCATGGGGGGTGGGAGGTGTAGGGGGAAGGAAGTTGAAAATAATCCTTATGCTAAATAGACCCTTTGAATGCCCTGGATTTGGGATAAGGGGGTCAAGTGAACAATCAATCCTCTTTAGGAATGAGCCTGAGAAGTTCAGACCTGTGTTGTTTAAGGGTTAACTGTATTGGGGGTGCCAAATTTTGTTCCCCTACAGTTCCTGGGCTACACACCCATACAGCCTGTTACTGTACTGAATTCTGTAGCAACTGGGACAGTGTATTCAGGGAAGGTGTTGCACTATATGCATGGTTGGCAAATGGCAGCTCTCGAGCCACACGCGGCTCTTTGGCCCCTTGAGTGTGGCCCTTCCACAAAATACCATGGCCTGGGGAAATCTGTTTTGAAGAAGTGGCGTTAGAAAAAGTTTTAAAAATGTGGCTCTCCAAAGAAATTTCAATCGTTGTACTGTTGGTATTTGGCTCTGTTGACGAATGAGTTTGCCGACCCCTGTCCTAGGACTGCCCTGCCCTGTGTTCACGCTGGCCCCGTCCTCAGCTTTCTCTGGCAGCCCAGTGGGATCCTGTTAACAGAGCAGCCACTCCCCAGGCATGCACGACCCCAGGGCCTTGCCAGCCTTTCTGGAGATGGACTAAGGTTTGCCCCTGCCCTTCTGCCCCATTTCTGCTCAAGCACCACCTTCTCAGTGGCACCCTAACCATTCTGTCTAACCAGCACTCCCTATGCCCCAGCTCTGCTTTATTTTTCTCAGCTTATTTCATCAGCATCTGGGTGTGTGTTTATTGCTTGTCCCCCAAAGGCGGACACTTTGGTTCATTGCTTGGGTGGCCTCAGGAACCTGGTCTCCCTCCCTCCTCCAGGCTTTTGCCTCTGTTCTCCCAACTGGGGCCGCCTTTTCCATTTCTAACAGCAAACTCCCGCTCCTCTTTAAGGTCCCAGCTCACGCCTCCCCTCCTCTGTGAGGTCCTCCCTGGCTCCCCAGGCAGCCAGTGTCGCGCTCTGGGCCCCCTAACACAGTGGTGGGCAAGCTCATTAGTCAGCAGAGCCAAATACCAACAGCACGACGACTGACATTTCTTTTGAGAGCCGAACACCGACTCTTGCTCTTGGGCCACAAAGTTTCAATCGCACTGTACGTGCGCGCCCGCACGTGGGATTTTGTGGAAGAGCCACACTCAAGGGGCCAAAGAGCCGCATGTGGCTCGCGAGCCGCAGTTTGCCGACCACTGCTCTAACACAGTCCAGCAAGGAGAAAGGTCGCAGAAGATCTAGGATCTGGAGACGTCTGGAAGGCAGGACGAGCTGGCTGCCTGTCTGTGTCCCCAGCAATGCTGAGCCTCAGTCAGCCTTAGGAGACGTTTGCTGACTGCCTTGGGGTAGGGCCCCGCCCCTCTTTATCCTCCCCTCTGACTTCACACACCTACCCTCCAAGATCTCCCATGCCCATTATGACTTCATGCAGCTGTGAAGTTTCTTTCTGTGAAAGAGAACCAGGTGGTCGTCCAGGGCTCTCCTGTCCTCTGTGACTTCCAGGACCAGAAGCCCTTTTGCGCCCACCATGCCTTCTCCACCTACAACGCCCAGCATGTCTGTGGCAGCCACCGGACCCTCCATGCCCAAGGCGTCTCCCAAGTCTCCTCCCTCCTTGAAGAGCGTCCAATCGGCAATGCCTGCCGGCTCAGTCACGAGCCCCTGCAGCTCCAAGTCCGCCAGGTGGGAAAGCACGAAGACAGACCCTTCCGGCCAGCCCGGCAGCAAGTCCAGAGTCCGCAGCAGGGGGAGGCCGTCCAGCAAGGCCAGCACCGACACCAGGCCCAGCAAAAACAACAAGGCCGGCAGAGTCCGGCACCACCGCCGGAAGGGCACCCACAGCCGGGGCCGGGCCCCTGGCAGAAAGGGAAGACCCTCCGTGAGGTCACCCAGCAGGGCCAGCACTCCCAGCAGGATGAAGACTCAGGGTGCCAAGCAGGGCACGCCCAGCAAGGTGAGAACTCCTTCCCAGCAAAAGCAGAGCGGGAGGAAGAGTTATAGCCAGCCTAGAACCAACAGCCGGAGGAGGAGCTACAGCCCACCGGGGACCAAGGACACGGGGAAGAGTCCTAGGCTGGCCAGCAGGGCCAAGAGTTACAGCCCCATCAGGATTCTCTTCACGGAGATAGAGTACAGCCCGTCCTCATCATTCAAGAGGGTGAGGAGCTACAGTCAGATGATCACCCCTAGCAGGGAACGGGGTTACAACCCAAATGAAACGTTCGGCGTGGTCAAGAGTTCCAACCAGGACAGCGTATCCAGCGGCACCCGAAGTCGCAGCCAGTCTAGCACCTCAAGCAGGAGCCAAAGTCACAGCCGATCTAGAACACCCAGACGGGCAAGAAGTCGCAGTCGGAAGAGGACCCACAGCAGGGTGAGAAGTCAGAGTTGGAAGAGAAATCATAGCAGGGCAAGAAGTCGTAACCGGAAGGAAACTCCCAGCCAGACGGGAAGACATGGCCAGTCTAGAACCCACAGCAAGGGGAAAAGTCAATACCAACCTAGAAGGGACAAAAGTCACAGCCAGTCCAGAAGCCCCAGCAAGGAGAGGAATAACAGAAGATCCAGAAGCTCCAGCAAGGAGAAAGGTCGCAGAAGATCTAGAAGCCTCAGCAAGGACAGAGGTCACAGACGATCCAGAAGCCTCAGCAAACAAAGAGATCACAGCCGAACTAGAACCCCTAGAAAAGAGAGGCATCACAGCCGATCCAGAGGCTCCAGCAAAGAACGAGGTCACAGCAGATCTAAAACCTCCAGCAAGGAAAGCGGTCATAGCAGATCTAAAACCTCCGGCAAGGAACGAGATCACAGCCCATCTAAAACCTCCAGCAAGGAAAGCGGTCACAGCAGATCTAAAACCTCCAGCAAGGAAAGCGGTCACAGCCCATCTAAAACCTCCGGCAAGAAAAGAGGTCACAGCAGATCTAAAACCTCCAACAAGGAAAGCGGTCACAGCCGATCTAAAACCTCCAGCAAGGAAAGCGGTCACAGCCGATCTAAAACCTCCGGCAAGGAAAGAGGTCACAGCAGATCTAAAACCTCCGGCAGGGAAAGCGGTCACAGCCAATCTAGAAGCTCCAGCAAGAAAAGTGGTCACAGCCGATCTAGAAGCTCCAGCAAAGTACAAGATCACAGCAAAACTAGAACCCCTAGAAAAGAGAGACATCACACCCAATCTAGAACCCACAGAAAGGAGAGGGGCCGAAGCCGATCTAGAACCCCCAGAAAGAGGAGCGGTCACAGAGCTGGAACCTCCAGCAAGAGAGCGCACAGCCGGTCTAGCACCCCCAGCAGGGAGAGCCATCACAGCCGGCCTAGAACCCCCAGCAGTCCCAGCTGGAAGGGATCCCCGCGCAGGGTGTAAAGTCCCAGTAAGAAGAGAACACCTGGCACGGCAAGGAGCCAATCCCCGTCAATACTTCCCAACGCAGCCCCAATCCCAAGCCAGGATGACATTCAGCTCTATAACCACCTCACCTGGAGAGAGGTCCTCGTCGTCGTCTTCCAAGCTGGCATAGCCTCCGGTCTCAGCTGGCTCACGAGTCTCTGTCATGGCCGGAGGAGGAGACGGGAGCAGAGCAGAAGCTAGGCAGCGTCTCTCCCCGGCCAGCTCTCCGCAGCTACACCTTGGCCACAAGTTCTCGAACGCAGGATGTCAGCCGGAAGAGGGATGCTGGAGGGGGAAAGGAAAGGCCAGTGGTAACTCAATAAATTTTTACATAGCACCTGCCTCCCCAGGACCTGCTGTGTGCTCAGTGATGGGGGTAAGGCAAAGATGCCCCAGCTCTGTCCCTGGCTGCCTCCTGGGCCTTGGCTGCCGGCCCTGGGCCGATGGAGACTTTAATTCCTCCATCTGGGCAACAAAGATATCCGTGGTTCTTATTCAGTGGTGTGGGGAAAGATAACTTTCCAAATATCTAACAGTGGATATTAGAATGGGCATGACTCAGAACTGAGATTGGGACACGGCTCTATGCTAGGCATTAGTCAGTCAGTTGCTGGATTGTGGGCAAGTCGGGTTGGGGGAGGATTCAATATGGCAGTTAGGGGTACGGACTCCTGGTGTACCAACCAGTCTAGAAGTATTTAAGTATTTAAACGACCGGTACGTCTGTGCTAGTCTGTGACTATCAGCCCTAGTTCTGTATCAATTTACACCTTGGCAAGATAGTATCTAGGTTTGGATCCTAAATCTGTCCTATTTTAACTGTGTAGCTTCATGCAAAGGCCTTAACTTCTCTAGCATGTTTCCTTCTGGATACAAAGAGGGCTTCCAGCCCTAGGTGGTTTGGCTCAGTAGACAGAGCGTTGGCCTGGGGACTACAGGAGGGTCCTGGGTTTGACTCCGATCAAGGGCACATACCTTAGTTGCAGGCTCAATCCCCGGTCCTAGTTAGGGCACGTGTGGGAGGCAACCAATCAATGTGTCTCTTTCACATTGATGTTTCTCCCATCTCTAAAAAAAAGCCAACGGAAAAATATCTGCAAGTGATGAATAAAAAAAAAAGGGGGGGGGGGACTTCCAGGACTTAACTCAGGTACTCCACTTAACCACCTTGAAACAGGTTATGTCCTTTTACAGATGAAGGCTGGGAGAGGACTAACAGGTAGTCCAAGGTCACACCAATTGGTAGGTTCATGAACTAGGATTTGAAGCCATGCCATCCTACCTCTCGTAAAATGATCCTTCGGCTGAAGATATTTTTTGAAGATTCAGTGGGTTCATTCATACAAATTTCTTGTAGGTGTCAAGTACTCCATTAACAGTAGCTGTTACTACTCCTACTCCCGACTCTGTAAACCTCAGCCATTCCAGACTTCTCCCTCTCCCTGTGCATGCCAGGCCTTTCCACATCCGTGGGTCTTAAGTAAATCCCGCTGTTCTTCTCTAAAATGTCCTCCTTCCCCCTTGTCAGCCTGGAGAACTATTCTCCCTCCAACGCTCACCTCAAACACAAGGACCTGTGTACGCCTTTCCCGCTCAAACTCTACCTCTGCCTCTACCAGGAAGCCTTCTCTGAACTCCAGTGCCTTCTCTCCCTCATCACCAATTACCCTCCCCACCCCCAACACCGCTTCTTTGTCTCCCACTGCACTTCCTAACACGGAGAGCAAGTTAGTGAAGGCGCTGGCAACATCAGTGCACTTCTTATGTGCCAAGGGCCGTGCTGGGCATAGGTGTACAATGGAAGCCACATTTAATGCTGGGGACTAAAGAGAAAATGATTAGAATTAATCTAAAGGAGGCTGGGGCAGGAGCGCTTTCTAAAGACACCGAGGTATGGGCTTGAAGGATGGAGAAGATTCATAATGGCAGAGAACAGCTCTCATAATACCCTATTGCCTGTGGGGCTTAATTTGATTTATGTCAGGACAAGGTTACCAGACTAAAAACAGATGAACCCTGGCCGGTTTCTCAGGGGTTAGTGTCTGCCCGTGCAAAGGTCTGTTCCCGGTACCTCGGTTGCAGTTTTGATCCCCAGTCCTAGTCAGGGCGCAGGCGGGAAACAACTAATCACTGTCTCTCACGTGGACTTTTATCTATTGTAGTATCTTCCTTTCCTCCATCCCTCCCATCCTCTCTAAAAATCAATGGAATATCCTCGGTGAGGATTAACAATAAAAAAACCAGACGACACCCATTGAGTTTGAATTTCAGGTAAACAACTAATTACTTAATATACATAGTAGGGTCCAAGTAATATTTGGGACGTACGTTTGTTTATCTGAAATCAAGTATTTCAACTGGCAATCGTACCCCAGGAACTCTTCGGGACTTCCTATGCGATTACCAGGAGACACTGCTCACCTACCCTTCCCCTTCCCCTTCCCCATCGCACAGAGCCCCTTGCAGAGCACTCCGGAGGACGGGCAGAGGCAGTCCTTGGTGCACAGGTCCCAGTCCTCAGTGACTATGACGGCTAGACTGGCTCCCGGGACTTCAGAGGGGCATAAATGAGGCTACCACATGCCAAGTGGAGGAGACCCCACAATATGTCCCGAGCCTATAGCCATCAACTCCCAGGATTCCCTGCCTGAACCGAACGCGCCCCTTCCCGCAACGCTGGGGGTAAGGAGCCACGGCAAAACGTCTCCCGGCACAAGGACTAGTCCCCATCATGCCCTGCGGCGACTCCCCCCAGGATGCCTCAGGCCTGCAGTGACCACCTTTCTAGTTTCCAAGACGCTCATCGCGGCGGGGTGTGTAACAAAGGTCCCCCGCAGGAACTAGAGTAATTCTCCCCAGAATGCACCCGGCCTATCACGACTAGCGGACCGACTCCCACACGTTTAAGGCAGGGCGTCCCTTAATTAATTAATTAATTAATTTATTTTCTCCCCGTTGCGCCAGGGCGGCATGGAGCCGCTCAGAGGGAGCCCAGGTCTCATCCTCAGGCCATCACCGCCCGAGACCGCTGCCGGCGCCTCCGTGCCTGGAGCCGTCACTCCCATCATGCAGCAGGGCCGCAGCGCCCGCTTCCCAGCATGCCCCGCGCAGCCCGATCCCGGACACTCACCGGCTGGGCGGCCCCGCTCCGGCGCGGCGGCGGCGGCGGCGGTGGCGGCGGCTGCACGCCCGGGCTCGGCGCCTGCGCTGCGTGTAGACGGGAAGGAGCGCGGGGGGCGTGAGGAGCCTAGGGCGCTTGCGCGCCGAGACGGACCATTCCTGGCGCCCAGTGTGAAGAGGGGCTACCCGAGTCGGGCCATCGCGGGGCCGGCGCAGGGGGTTCCGGGCTTTTGCCCCTCGCGGTCCGGGTTCACTTGGTACAGTCCGCAGCCGGCCCGAAGGAGAAACTGCAGGGCCCGCGCGTGCGTGTGCGGGGCAGGGACGCGCTCCAGGGAAGATGGGATGAGCGGAGGGGCGGGGTAGGGGGGGTAGGGGAAACGCCAGCTCGGCCGGAATTCGGGCCCTGAGGCCTGTCTATTTGCATAATCTTAGCGCGGGACAATGGAGGCGTGGAGCGCCCAATGGAGTGATTTGCATATTCCCCGGAAAAGCTGTCCTCTGCAGCGCAGTGATTAGCATAAGTGGGGCTGGGGGCGCCTGAGCAAAGCGCATGCGCAGAGGGACTGCGGACTAGCGCGAAGCTGGGAGCCTTGGTTTAGGAGGAATCGGTTGGCATCAACTAGAGGCGGCTCAAGGGTCAGGAACCCTCCAGCTCCTACCCGGATAAATAATGACTGCTCTTTTGTGTGTCATTTCCCTGGGCTAGCTGGCACTATGGTTTCCGCAGGGAACAAGACATACCCGGCCCCTATGGTCATGATGCCCCAATCAAAGGAAGGAAAGCCACCCACAATCAGAACCACAATCGAGTGGTCAGACTTGGAATGAATGGAGCACAGGAAGCTGTGGGGAGATTAGAGGAGGTGTCTGCCCCAGCCTGAAAAAGTGATGATCTTTAAACCAAGGATTAATGGAATGGTGCTGAAGATATTGTAGGAGTCCAGGCTTCCTGGAAGTGACTCAAATTCCAGCTTAAAACTCTCCAGTGGGCTCCCATTGCGCTTAGAAAAAATCCAAACTTCATCATGGCCTGGTCCTGTTTACCTCTGACCTCTCATACCTCTCTCTCTATCCTAACTCCAGCTCCCATCAAACACCCCAGTCTGCCCTTGCTGTTCCCTTTTCCTAAAAATGGCTGCTCTTGTTAACCATTCATATCTTGGCACAGATGTCAATCTGAGAGGCGTTCCCTGATCTGTTTTTTCTAAAGTAGCACCTCCAGATGTGCTACAAAGTGAGTGGGGCTGCAGACAAAGCAGGATTGGCTGTGAACAGATGGCTTCTGAAGCTGGGGTGAAGGATGCATGGACTTCACCTTCCTGTTCTGCCTGTTTGTGTGTTCGAAGTCTCCCATAATAAGTTAAAATAAAATAGCACTCCTCACCCCCTTCCTCTGCATTGTATCTTAATGGCAACCTGAAATTTGAGTTCTTTTTTCCTTGTGAAAGCTTCGTGAAGGTAAGACACGGAGTCCCCTTTCCCACTTTGGGGCCTTATGTCCCAGACTTATGCTGTCTGGAACACCACTTAGCTGCCTCTAGACCTTTGAGCAGCACCTGGCACAAAGTGAGAGGTCAATATATGTTTTCATCTAAAATCAGAATCACTCATTTAAATTTTAGAGAATGAAGGGCCTGGAATACAAGGTTAAGGAACTCTGTCTTGCTGTGCAGGTGGGTAGGGAGACCAGGTAAGGTTTTGAGGAAGGCAGGACCAGGGTGAGATGTGACTAACTGAAAGCTGCCCTGGAGGCTGACGTCTGGGGTGCGGGTGAGCCACAGCAAGGGTCCAGGTCATGGGGCAGGGATCGGGTAGCTCAGTAGTTACCGAGGACATAAGACTGACTGGCTGAACGAGTGTCTAGGAAACAACGAGTTTCCCCCTCCAGGAGGTCAAGGTGCCTTTGCTGAGACCTCATTTTGGCCTGTATGGTTCACCGGCGACTCCCCCCCCTGCCCCTCCCAACAGGGTGCAGCTTCGGGCAGAAGGACAGACACACAACTACCACAGACATGTGTTCTCTCCTCAGTTTAATGGTGGTTAGTGGGATTGCCAAACCCCCTTCCCATTCCCCTCCCTGCCCCATACAAAAATGTTGTGTGGTGGTGTTTTGTTTTGTTTTGTCTTTTTTTAAACAAGAAAAAGGGGGCAAAAGCCAGGAATGGGGGAGGAGGGCATAATCTGATATTTCATACAGATTTTTTATTTTTTTAATATATTATATATAAAACCATAGAGACCAACACCCTCCCTACACTCCTTTGCCCCTCCCTGGGGGGGCGCCTGGAGGAGAGCTGGGGGAGGCCCCCCAGGAGTGGGTGGACAGAGACAAGTAGAGATAGGACAGATGTGGGGGGAGAAGGTAGAGGGAAGGGAAGCTGGGACCTGGGGAAGGGGGATTGGGGAAAAGGGCCGGGGCTGTCTCCCTCACCTCCATCAACGTTATGACACAAAGACACAGAATCCGTTTCCACACCCTCCCCCCCACCCTTACCCCCACCGTGCAAACATGGCTTTGCAAAGAGGTGCCCAGAGCTCTAAGGAGCTCCTACAATGGCTGGCATGGGGTCTCGGACCCCCAAAGAATTCTGTGTTTCCCTGCCCTGCCCACCCCACCCTTCCCAAAATCTGATCCCCTCCCCCACATGACCTGGTTCTGCAGCTTAGGGGCCCTGGCCTTCCCCCAGTTATCTTTCCCTAACCCGATCCCTACCGCCCTCCCTGGACTTGGGGGATCTGGACCTTTGGCCCCTCCCCCCCGGGGGACCCCAGGCCCCTGGGACCTTGCTTCTGGCCCTCGCAGAGACCCAGGCATTTGACACCCCCATCCCTGCCCAAACGTCTGAGGTGTTAGTGGCGGGGAGAGATGCCCACCATCTCAGACTCTGGTCAATGTCTTTGCAGCTGGCAGTGGGGTGGCCCCTCGCCCAGGCCAGGCCTGGGGTAGAGACGGGGTCAGATGAAGAATTCTTCTTTCCTCTTGTGTCCGTCGCTGCCGTTGAGGAAGGCTTCTCTCGCTTCTCCCTGCTCGTCCAGACCACTGGCCTCGTGGGTCAGGTAGGAGCCTGTGGGTGGGCCAGGAGTTAAGCAGAAATAAACGGGAAGAAGGAGACAGAGGAGACAGACATCCGACAAGAAAGAGGGAGGAAAGGAACGCAGGGAACAGAGAGAATCAAGACCAGGGAATGGCAACATGGGCAGAGAAAGGGGCGAAGCAGAATTAGGAAGATACCAAAAGCTCATGGAGAGATCATCCCTTATCTGTTCTCTTGGTGCTATCCCCTTGCTCTGTTCTCGAGGAATCCAGCAATTAGGAAGGCAAAGTCATTTAATTTAAACCCACGTTTTTAATTCAGCTTCAGTGTTTCATCCCTGTTATTTATGGGCAAAACACCCGCCCCTTTGGGAATACTGGCTTCAGATCCCACAGGCTCTGCCCTCTCTTGAATTCCATCTCTAGACCCCACCCCCTTACCAATCCTGTAACCAACTACAACCCCACCACCAACTACAACCCACCACCACTACTCACCTTTCTGCCGGACCGAGCACCAGACCATGCCCACCAGCACGCAAATGATCAGAAACACCAGTAGCGCCAGGATGCCGCCCACAATGGCGTAGGGCACGGAAGTCTGAGCCTCTACCACCGCACCGGGGTCTGTCAGAGGAACAGGGCGCAGGACCCGGGGATGGGAGGATGGTCCCAGCCCCGTCCATCGCTGCCAACCTGTTAAATCATTCCACCCACCCTCTAACCGCGCCCCTTCATGTGCCATGCCCCTCAAGTTACTGCCACCTGCTGGGCCTTTCTCAAGGCTTGGCTTCCCTCTTTCCTGACGTTGCCCCTACCTGGAGGAACGTGTTGGATTACACACCGCCCCACTGGCTCCTGAGTCATTTTGCGAGGGCCTGCTCAGCCTTCTGTCCTTACCGCACCCCCCAAGGAACAGAAACAGCACTCCCCTTTTCTCTGGACCATGTTTCTACCCCCGTAGAACCTCGGGCCCAAGTCCCTCACCACACCTTGTCCCAAACGTTTCTGGTGTCCAAAATGCTGTCTAGCGCCCAAACATGTCCAAAATTCCAGCTGCACCATCGTAAGAGTTACACATTTTTTTTGCTAGAGCCTTTCCAACCACTTTATTTTTTTGGTTAATCCTCCCCCCGATAATATTTTCCCACTGACCTTTTAGAAGAGAGTGGAAGAGAGAGGGAAAGACAGAGAAGCATCATCTAGGCAGGGGTCCTCAAACTTTTTAAAGTGGGGGCCAGATCACGGTCCCTCAGAGAGCTGGAGGGCCGGACTATATGAACTACTAATTCCTACTGTAACACCTCGGCTGCGCTCACTGCCCAAAAAACCTGGCGGGCTGGATCAGACTCCTCTGCGGGCCGCATGTGGCCCGCGGGCCGTAGTTTGAAGACTCCTGATAGTGGTTGCCTCCTACACCTGCCTTGACTGCAACCAAAGTACGTGTCCTTGGCCGGAATTGAACCCAGAACCCTTTGGTGCGCAGCCTTACGCTCTACCCACTGAACAACCGGCGAGGGTCCTTCCAACCACTTTATATATTTAGCTCCTACAATCTCCATAAACCCTGAAATATGTGCTATTGTTCAATTCCACTTTACCCAAGAGAAAACTAAGGAGCAGACTATGTCACCGGCAATAGGATGTTGCAAGAGCCAAAACTGAACCCAGGCGGTCAGTCTGGCCTCCGAACTATAAGAACTTTGTGGACTGTTGGACCTCCGGAATCAATCGCTTTGCACAGGCCCCGCCCACCCATGGACCCCGGGAGGCCCCGCCCCTGCCCTGAGCCCCGCCCCCAGCAGCCTGCACTCACCGTAGACCACGAGCACATAGAGCGCCCTCGCGTGGCCGTGCTTGTTCGACGCCTCGCAAGAGTAGGTGCCATTATCTGCGGATACCAGGCCGTGCAGCGTCAGCGTCTCCCCGAACGCCTCGGCCCGCTCCGGCAAAGACTCGTTCCCGCGGCTCCAGCGGATCTGATTTGGCCTGGACCAGGGTAAAATACAGAAAGAGTAAGGGACGCAGGCGCCAGCACCCAATTCCGACTTCTCCGGAATGTAGATAGGGAGCATCTAGGCATCAGAGGGTCCCTCCTCAGGAGTCTCAGGCCCCTGAGCTCACCTGGGGTTTCCCGTGACAGCACACGTCAGCATCAGGGTGTCCCCCTCCCTCACCACAGCTTGCGAGGCATGGATCCGGGCCGTGGGGGAGTCTGCAGGCAGAAGTGAGATGGGAGGGTGGCTGTCAGGGCCATCACGCGGGGTTGGAACCCTCCCGGGGTCCAGCAGCGGCTGGCGTTGGGACTGCCCCCCATTCCCCCACCCTTCCACCCCGCCGGGTCCCTGCGGGCCGGGCACTTACACTGCACGTCCAGCACGTACTGCGTCTGCTTGATGTGCCCCGAGGGCAGCGCCTGGTTCTGCGCCTCGCAGATGACGATGTCGCCGTCGTCCTTGCGGTCCACGCGGAACCTCACGGTGCTCGCCACGCTCCACACCTTGCCATTCTCCCTGCTGCTGCTCACACCTGCCGGCCGACCCGGATGTCTTTCAGCCCCGATTCTGGCTCCGCCCTCGAGGGTATCCCTCCCTGCAGCCAATCCCAAAGCTGGCTATCTGCTAAGCCACGCCCCTAAGCCACTGGCCCCGCCTCTAGTCTTCCAAATCAGGCCCTCCATCCCATGTTCCTCTTCCCAAAGCTCTTCCTGTCCTCCCACCTGTCATTGTATTCAATAGCTGGCCCATGCCCGCCTGCCCCGCGCTGGCCCATGCCCACCTGCCCCGTGTGCTCCCCTCCAAGCCCCGCCCCTGCAAACCTGCCTCTCACAGGCCCCGCCCCTTGGAGCCCCGCCTCTTCATAAGCCCCGCCCCTCGAACCCCCCTTTTCGGGGCGATCATACCTTTCAGCTCTTTGCGGTCCCGGTACCAGCGCAGAACGGCAACCGGGCGGGACCGCGGGACCAGGCAGCTGAGCTCCACCTCGCCGCCCTCCACCGCCTGCTCCCGCACTTCCACCACGGGGTTCTCCGGGGCCACTGCGGCAGGGAGGAGCGGGGAGCGGGGAGGTCAGGGCAGACAGCCAGGTGGGTTCAAAGGGACCGGGCAGCGGGGGTTTGAGGCAACAAGGGTCAAACATAGAGCCCAGAGGTCAGGCAGGCCAGCCCTGTGGCCTGGGCCCTGATGTCCGGGAGGTTGAAAGCAGCCAGGGCAGGGTCCCGGGATGAGGGAAGGCAGAGGAGGGAGGAGGAGGGGCGGGCAGCGGGAGGGAGAGGTGTGATTTACCCAGCACGGTGAGCGTGGCGATCTGGTGGTGGGTGTCCTCGGTGTAGAGCTGGCAGAAGTAGCCTCCCTCGTCTTCCAGGCGGGCGTCTGAGAGCCGGATCCGCACCCTGCGAGGGGAGAACTCCTCAAGCTGGAAACGCTCATCCTTCAGGGCTAGAGTGAGTGAACCAGGAGTGAACGGGGGGGAATCCTGGCCTCCGGGGTTCGACCCTTCCTCCGGGAGCTCGGAGTCCAGCCCTCTGCCTTTTTGCTCCAGCCATACCTATGTATCTAGATGCCCACATGGATGCATTTCTCACATCGATGTTTCTCTGTCCCTCCCTCTACTCCCTTGGGGACTGGAATGATGCAGGACCTCCCACCCACAGGAGCAGGGTTCGAACCCCCCCGGCTCCATGCTATGTGAGGACCCAGGAGTCCAGAGTCTCAGCTCTGCCCTCTTTCCTGTCACAGGAATCGGCTCCCAGCCCCCCTCTTCCAGGATGGGGTTCCGGACCCCAGCACTCACCGCGGGTGCCGTTGAAGAAGAGGGTCTGGCGGGCCGGGTTTTGAATGACAACGATGGACCCATCGTACTGGTGCAGGCGGCAGGTGATCTCCGCCACCCCGCCCTCGGCCACCGTCACGTTCTCCGTCTGTACTTCTTGTCCCGCCCCTGGACAGGACAGGAGACTCGTTGATGGCTGCAATTCTCTCTCGCATCTGTTGCTCTCCCATCCAAACTTCCAATCCCTCTCCTTCCCCTCACATTCAGTGTATCGCATCCAGTGTTTCCTGCAGGCTGGAGCCCAAGAGAGGGACTCTAGAGGGGGCTGCCCCGGGCACCCTGGGAGCCCAGAGGAAAGGGAGGCCAAGACGGCCGGCCTGGGGACTCTTCCCAAAAGCGGCCGGAGATGCCCTCTGAAAATGGTTTGCTAAGTCACCTGACCCAGAAAAACCACAGAATCCTGCCAATGAAGAGGTGCAAATCTTTGTGATCACTTTAAGAACACTCGTGAAACTGCCCAGGTCATCGGGGGTATGCACATTCAAAAAGCCACCAAGCAGCCCTGGCTGGTGTGGGTCAGTGGTTAGAGCGGCAGCCCTGGGAACGGAAGGGTCGCAGGTTTGATTCCCGATCCAGGGCATGTACCTGGGTTGCAGGCTCGATCCCAGTCCGGGTTGGGGTGCGTTCAGGAGGCAACCAATCTGTGTTATTTCTCAGATCGATGTTTCTCTGTCTCTCTCTCTACCCCTCGCTCCCTTCCACTCTCTCTCTTGAGAAAAAAAAAAAAATTGATGGAAAAAAACATCCTCAGGTGAGGATTTAAAAAAAGAAAAGAAAAGCCACCAATGTCTGCAGGATGTCACTTTATAGAAGCAGTGTGTGCCATTCCGTCATCACAATGGTGGGGTTGGTAGGTGTGCCAGGCTAAAGAGTGGAGCTGGATGCAGGGTCAGTGGCACAAAAAGAGTGCTGAATTTTTAAAGATATATTTTTATTGACTGCAGAGAAGGGAGAGGGAGAGGACAGACAGAAACATCATCAATGAGAGAGAATCCTTGGATGGCTGCCTCCTGCTCGCCCCACTGGAGACTCAGCCCACAACTCAGGCATATGCCCTGGGAATCGAACCTCGACTTCCGGGTTCATAGGTTGACGCTCAACCACTGAGCCACACAGGCCGGGCAAGAAGTGCTGCCATTTTTGCTTAAATGCAGAGAATGCTGAGCGTAAGACTTTAGATGTAGATCCTCTGGTCACTGAGTACATCCAGGTGAAAAGCTCCCAAGATGCAGTGCAAACGTACAGAGCTCATGGGCGGGTTAACCTGTGCGGCTCTCCCTGCCGCCTGGAGATGGTCCCTCTAAAGAAGAGCAGATAGACCTAAACCAGAGAGGTACTTGCACGAAGAAAAAGATATTCCAGAAGAAACAAAAGCGTATGGCCTGGAGTAAATTCAGCATAAAATAACACTAAAAGTGAAAAAACAAAAACAAAAACAAAACCCTGGCCAGTGTGGCTCAGTTGGTTGGGCGTTTTCCCATGTACCAACAGGTTGCCAGCTTGATGCCCAATCAGGGCACATGCCGGGGTTCAGGGCTCCATCCCTGGTAAGGGATGTGCAGGAGGCAGCCAATCAATGTTTCTCTCTCACATCCATGTTTCTCTCCTTCCCCTTTTCTTCCACTCTCTAAAAAAAATCAATAAAAACAATTTTTTTAAGTTGTTTTTAAAAGACTTCCTAGAGAGAGATGGGGGATTAGAGAAGGTTCTGGAAGAAAGCTCTATTGGATCCAGATCTCAAGTAAACAGGAGCTGACCAGGGGTGGGACACCGCGAGGTGCTCCCTGAACCCCGCCTTCCACACCTGGGCTCAGGCTGTGGCTTGTCGGCGGGATGGCCACAATACGCTTCCCTTCTGCGTGCGTGCGTGCGTGCGTGCGTGCGTGCGTGCGTGCCCTTTGTAAGGTGACTTAGCGGCTCCACCCACTGAGGCACTCAGACCCTGGGAATCTGGGCACGCCTTGGGACTTGCTCTGACCCACAGAATTTGCTAGAACCTACGCTTCAAAAGACCTTGCAGCTCCCGCTCACGCCTCTTGCTGCCCTGAGACAGTTGAGTGAAGATGCCCAGACTAGCTTCCTTGAAGGTGAGAGAAGCCCAGCCAATAGCCGGTCACCCCGCCAGCCGTGTGCCTGAGGCCATCCTGCACCAACCCCCCCCCCCCCCCCCCCCCCCCCCGAGACAGCAAGTGACGCCAACTGTGACCAAGAGAACTGCCCCATTGATCCAGTCCAAACTGCTGATCCCAGCGTTGTGAGCGAATGACGTGATGGTTTAAAGCCACTAGGCTTTATTTTTATTTATTTATTATTATTTTTTAAAATATATTTTTATTGATTTGTTACAGAGAGGGAGAGAGATAGAGAGCTAGAAACGCCGATGAGAGAGAAACACCGACCAGCTGCCTCCTGCACACCCCCTACCAGGGATGTGCCCGCAACCAACATACATGCCCCTGACCGGAATCGAACCTGGGACCTTTCAGTCCGCAGAACGACACTCTACCACTGAGCCAAACCGGTTTCGGCTTATTTTTATTTTTAAAAATATATTTGTATTGATTTCAGAGAGGAAAGGAGAGGGAGAGAGAGATAGAAACACCAATGATGAGGGAGAATGATCACCAATGATCACTGCTCAGCTGCCTCCTGGGGATCAAGCCCACAACTTAGGCATGTGCCCTGATGGGGAATTGAACTATGGCTTCCTGTTTCATTGATCAATGCTCAATTACTGAGCCATACAGGCCAGGCTAAAGCCACTACATTTTAGATGTGCTGTTACACCCCGAAAGTTAACTGGTACAACACATACCGGTAATTAAGCTACATTTCCCAGGGTCCCTTGTACTTAGGTGGGGCCATATGACTGACTTCTGGTCAATAGGATGTAGATGGAAGAGAGAAACACCTCTTCCAAACTGGCTCATCTCACTCACATCCTTCTTTTTCTTTCCCTTTTTTTTTATTAATCCTCACCAGAAGATATTTTTCCTTTTTTTTTTTTTTTTTTTTAGAGAGAGAGAATGGGAAGGAAGGAGGGGTGGGGGGAGGAGGGGAGATACAGAGAGAGAGAGAGAGAGAGAGAGAGAGAGAGAGAGAGAGAGAGAGAGAGAGAAACATCAATGTGAGATACATTGATTGGTTGCCTCCTGCATGCTCTCCAACCTGGCTGGGATCAAACCTGCAATCCAGATATGTGCCCTTGACCAGGAATCAAACCTGAGACCCTTTGGTTCAAGGGCCAATGCTCTAACCACTGAGCCCACCAGCCAGGGTATCACTCCTTCTTAACGGCTGAATGGAGAGAACCCCAGGGAGCTTAGAAAAGATAGGATCACGAGCTGGAAGCCTGGGGCCTGACTCACTGCCCCCTGTGGCTTGTCTGAGCGAGGAATGCACTTTTTTTTTGTAACGCCACGGAGGTTCCAGGACTGTTCGTTATGGACGTTAACCGGCTCTGATTAACACGGCAGAGGAACAAGGTAGGTGATTAGGAAGGGGGTGTTTCCAGCAGAGAAAACAGCCTGGCAGAAGGCTGGAAGCTGAGATTAATCACCATCAGCATCACCATCATCATTGTCACTGTCAGCGTCAGAATCACAATCACAATAGCTATTGTTTATTAGGCGCTTGCTGTGCTGAGGACATTACCTGTATAATTTCCATGCAAATGATCACAATATCTGAATTAACGTAGGCACCCGTTTCCCATCACGTTTTCTCCCAGTTCCCATTTTACAGATGAGACCATTAGTCCGGAGGGAGAAAATGTCTTGCTTAAGGTCATAGCCCAAGAGGTGGCAGACCCAGGACCTGCATCCGGATCTCTCTGATTCTGTATCTCACTTAGACCTACCTCCACCGCTGGTGTCTGGGTGTATGTCCAGCTTTGGTGAGGGGGTTTGGGGTGTGCCGGCGGAAGGCGATTATAGCTTTTCTCCGGAAGGCCGGTGTAGGTTTTGGAGCTGGAAAGAACCACGACCACACCTGGCGATGTACCTTTAAGTGCTGGGAAACTCTCACTCCTTATCCATTCATGTGAGTATTTCCTCGGCAGGGGTAGGTTTCCCAGGCTGTGTGCCCAGAGATGAGTCAGAAAAGGTCCCTGTCCCGGAGGGCTTTTCCAGATTGATGTGGAGTTAGACACCAATCACCGGAACATCCCATCGAGCGTGCTCTCCTCCCTGCAGGAAGGATGGGCAGCTCCTTTGGGGGCCGAGGGGCGGGAAAGATGAATTCCAAGGGGTGGAGGCCGAGAGAGAGCATGGCCTTCCACCCCGCCACCCATGCCTTCCTCTCTCCTCTGCAGAGGAGCCCTGAGGGGAGCTTACGGCTGCCCTCTGCCTCGCACAGAGATATATCTCCCGGGCTTTCGTGCAGCGGAGTGGGTCCGAGGAAAAGTGCCATGGGGTAATGTGGGGAGGATTTCCGAAAAGGGGGGCCAGGGCCCTTGTCCACCAGGTCACCTTTGTGCTGCTTGGAGCTGGGATGCGGAGGCCTGGCGGGCTGGCAGCCGTGTTGGGCCATGAGGAAGAGGGCGGCAGGGATGGCACAGGCAGGAGCTGGGCCTCCGGTGATGCTGTGGAGCGGCTGTAAAAGCCCCAGCTGCCTATTTCGGGACTTATTTCACGTTTAGTGTAACTTTTTGTGTTGTTATGCCACTGATAGTGATTTATCTAGTGCCTCCCGGAATACCAAGCTTCACATGTCCGATCCAAATGTTTTCCTCTCCGTGTTTTCTCAATCTCAGTAAAGGTCACAACCATCACCTACCTGCCTGGCTGCGCAGGCCCCACACCTAGAAATCATGCTCGTTCTTACCCTGCCCTTCACCTCTGACATCCTTTCCATCAGCAGCATCTATCCATTCTACTTTCCAAACATCCCACACACATTCATCTTTGTCTCTTTGGCCATATCCCTAGTTCAGGGTTCTTTGTTTTTGTTTTTTTGCCAAGCCATCTGCATATTTATAACGTCATTCATGGGCCATACAAAATTATCAACTTAAAAAATTAGCCTATTTGGTCAAACACTTAATTAACTCACCCCTAATGTGTTGGCTGGGCCATACCAAATGATTTCACCGGCCTGATATGGCCAGT